TGTTTTTGTTTCTGACATGTTCAATACATTGACTAATAAGGTGAGTAAAGCCACACTTGTTTAATCTGGTAGAAGTCCTTCACCTTGTAAGGATACATCTGCTCTTAGGTTTGTTTTGAGAATCTTTTCAAAGCACGTCTGAGTTCACTGGAGGACAGCCTAAAGCCCTCTCTACATGTCTTCATTAAACATGATCCAAACTCAATATTTCAGACTTCCAGGAAATACTAAAAAGGAGAATTTGATAACCAAAGCCAAAGTGAAGCCGCAGACTCCTTATTAAAAGTGATGTGATATCCAAAACAGGGCTATCCTCTACAGAGCGGCGGCAAATTAAACAGCTGCTCGTCTCCATTTTGTGACATCAAACACTCGCTTGCTTTCTCTTTGGAAGAATATTTAAAAACGTCTTAAGCTACTGCAGCTGTCTTCACTAATTAAGTTCTCCTCCTCTGATTGAAACTCGGTGATACGGTGTTCAGTGAGGATAACATATCTTCATGAATATGTCTTACTCGCTATTGCTGATGAAGTCCAAGATGTCCTGTTCCAACTTCAGGAGCATGATTCGATCCCTGGAGAAATGAAACATGGAAGACATATTGGGTCATGAGAAACATTTCAAGATAGTGATATATTTGTACTACTTAGCTGATATTGATAATAAGACCTCTAAAGGCCTGGTAACAACAGAAAGTAGCACAGTAAAATCAGACGTTTTTGATTATTCATACGAAGTTAAGGACTTTTTTTCCGTGAGTAAAACCACTCATCAAAGCTTTGAAATGATGTGACCTCAAAACATGAACTCCTGAGAGACTCCAGATGTCAGATTTGGGTGTAAACGTTGAGCGTACCTGGGGTTTCCCTTCAGCGTGTTGACCAGGAACTCATGGAGATCTATGCCAGTGGAGTCTGTGTAGTCTTGACTGGAATCTAACCAAGGAAAAACAAATCAATGACGTAAGCTTTAAGCAAGGCAATGCATCGGAAAGATTACAACTTCCTGATTTCATTTCTCCTGTGCACAATCAAGACACTATCCCTGATACATCTGTCATTTCAGAATCTATTTATACACAGAATATATTTCATATTTACATGAATAATTAGGGAACTTGAAATGTTCCAGCCCGTTAACTCCCCAAATTAATGATGAATACTTAATCAACGGCCCGTTTTGAATAATGATCTCCAATTTAATCAGCCTGTCATTCAACTATCTGTGTGAGAAACTTCACTGAGGGTGACATTGCTAAGCTCGGTGCTATTTGCCGCTTGTTATAGGTGTGACCAATGTGATGAAAGACGGACAAAAAAGCCTTGGCAGCATGTATCAGCAGCAGAGAGAGAGAGCGCTGCCAGCTGAACCATTTCAGATATGAGAAAAGTGGTCCGATAATGAAATTGAAACCAGGAAAAAAATCCATGTTCCTGTGCACAAACAAAGGATGGGACCCATAGGTGGGAGTCAGGGGGAAATGGAGGCCGTTTCTCCCTGATGGGTGTCTGGTTTCTATAATTGGACGCTGCCTCATCAGTGGTGTTGCTCCACAGAGGGAAGCAGACACCTTTATTCGCCCGTGGGAATCCGGATAATTGCTTAACACCTTGAGCTTGTCGCAATTAACTGAATCACGCCAATTATCGGCCCATAATGAGATATCATTTAAAAACGGAGAAGTGCTTTTTGACAAACTGGCTGTGCCGGAGGGGAAATAAAAGAAGAAGAAGTTCAGGACTGGCTGTTCCTCGTGACACAGTCGAAGATATAATTATCAGAAAGGCTGTAATTTGTCTGGGTGGCATGCATTGTGTGATAAGTATAATTAAAGCAAAGCAGCTCAATAGTTTGCCTTCAGTGACATCATGCCACCAACATATTATCTAAGCTATGATTTCATTTTTGTTCATGTGCTCCTGCAAAGTTTGGTATGTATAGATTACATTTTTGGGATAGGAAAAGCACATGCATTTCAAGCTCTGGGGTTTGGGAGTAAGCAATGTTTATAAATGAGGCCCCAGGTGTTGATGATGTAAAGAAAGCGGAGGTGTTAACGGAAAGCTCCTGTGACTGCAAATCTGTTCGCCAAGGTTTCCACCAAGGACATCAATATGTTAAAATATGTATGAATAAGAAAAGGTGAAAATGTGCGTTTGAAATAAAGTCTAATTTACAAAAAACTGAAGAAAAATCGATATGAAACGAGCACTTAACGAGGGGGTTTAATTGCATTTCTCACCTCTCGACAGCATTTTTCTCTGCGTTTTCTCAGGTTTTTCCACCTTATCGCAGCTGTCCTCTTTCTCAGCTTGGTCCTGTGAGGCTCGGTCTTCCTTTTCAAAGGGCTGCAGGAGAAATTCATCCTGAAAAAAAGAAATACAGATTGAAAAACTGATTGATTCAGATGTGAGAGTGTGAAGCAGATCTGGCTGATGTCTTATTAAATGCTGGATTGCGTGTGTGCAGTAATGTCAGCGTTTTACAAGAGCTTAAAATACTTAATGTGATCCGAGTCCGAAGACCAGACGTAGGACATCATTTAAAAAAGGAGGTGTTAAGTACGAGGCATTTACAAATCTCTACGATGTAGGTTAATTAGAGAATAGCTCGGGCAAAGGAGGTCCCCGTAAGACATCTAATAAACTCTCCTTGCTGGTACTAATGCGCTGGTGTCGATACATTCCTTATGATAACGGCACTAAATCCATCAGATTAGCTTGTTTTAATTAAACCACATGAATTTGAACCCAGAATTAAACCAACGCAGCACATTTCATTCTTTAAAATTGGACTGAGTGAGCTGTAATCTGCCTCCAACTGTAACAATTCTTAAAATTGACCGTACTGAATAGATGTTTTGAAGAGATCTATTAAAAACTGCCTTGATTCACCCCAGTCGTGCTCCTTCTTACCACACACACACACACACACAGCCACACACACACGAATATCTGATTTGCTTTTCAGGCAATTCTACAAAAGGCTGAAAGGAAAGCTGAAAAGAGGAGAGGGTTTGCCAGCGCACTGTAAGTGGATTAAACACAACTCTGGGGAAGCTAACATCAGAGTGTGTGTGTGTGTGTGTGTGTGTGTGTGTGTGTGTGTGTGTGTGTGTGTGTGTGTGTGTGTGTGTGAGAAATGGATGAATGAAGGAGTGAGAGAAGGGGTGACCTAGTGGCGGGAGAGAGGCTCATAACCAAAAAAGGTCACGAGTTTGATCCTTGTAACAGCTGCGAGGCAAGATAATGAGACGCAGCGTTTGCTGAATATATGTGAAAATGTAATATGCTAATGAGCAACGTGACTGACTAATTGCCTGAGCGAGACCGGGAGAAAGCGAAAATGAGTCTTGGATGGCGTGTCGTGGAAGTGACAGGGAGTGTGTGTGTGTGTGTTCGTAAAAAAAGAGGGTTTTTTTCTGGCATGAAGCGCTGATGTTTGCTACTTAAAGCCACCGCCGGCGTCATGCAAGCCGCCCGGTTGATGTGCAGCTGTTGCAAGCCGCCTCATTTGTTTCCTGACATCCATTTACCTCGAGATAAAGGAAAAGCAGCGGGGAAATGACGGTCCCCTGAATATGTAATGAACGTGCTGTCAGTCTAAAACAAAAAGTGCATCCTGTATTCAGAAGCCCTCGACTATCGGCCATTGATTGGAATTGACAGCCACAAGGCGTACAATGCGTGTCGCTTTTCCAGGAGGCAGTGATGGTTTGGACAGCCCATAAATCCATACAGCTCTTTGTCATCGCCCATAATCTTACATTAGACACAATAACGTAAAAGGGGGAATGTTTTAGATTTGATAATCAAGAGGTCTGAATGGGAACCGTTGATCCTGCAGCTGAACGTGTACTCCACTTATGTTTCCGCTCTCCTTTTATTGCTTTCCCTCTCGCCCCTCCAGGTTCCTCCGCAGTCCCAATAACAGTAGTGGGGGAAATATCAGGAGTATTCAATTAGAGCGCTCCACAGCTCTCTGTAGCTGACGTGTGGAAATTGTAATTTCCCCGACATGATTGATGGCAGTAATACAGGACGTCGTGTGAGTGCAGACGATGCGAGACTGTTGTGGGAATAACACCGCCCTCTGGTTATGGAGCTCGCTGCTGACTGGCTGAAACCGCCTGGAAAACAAACTCACCTGTGTGTGAGCTGTGTGTGAGCTGTGTGTGAGTGGCATGTAATGGAGAAAAGGTCGATCAAAAGGTAGGGGAGGTTTCGCCCTGAGATACGCCGTAAAAAAAAGAACAGATGATTTAGCAAACTGGCACGCTGTTGTTCTCTACTTTCCCTTTGATGATGTGATGTTTTCATCAAGCGGCCACAGGCAGGTGTTTAATCAAAGCTGTCGGACGAAGCTAATCAAGCATCATAGGTCTACCTGCTCTGATGTAATGAGCTTAAAAAGGAGAACTGATCCCTGGTCAGCACCTCAGCGTATGCATGTGGGCTTGTAGATTAATGAATGGGGCTGATTGAGGGGTTTCATGAGATGACTGGGATGAACTTTACTCCACATGAACAGAATTTGGTTCGTTTAAATGCATGCTCTCCATTACTGGATGTTACAACCTATGAACTAGCTGCAGCTGCAACAAGCGACTGTTAGCATAGCAAATCATGGCTAGAGTAGCTGGAGCTAAACACTCTGGCTGCTCTGTGTTGATTCATACGAAGACCATCAGAATATTTCACCATGGAACAAAGAAAACCTGCATCCCTTATGTGAAAACACTCAGAGGTTGTTACCTGAGGTTCTGCTGAAGGCTCAGGGCTAGGGCAAGGAAAGGACTCTTCACACACTGCCAGGCTCCGCACCAGCTTTAGCCTGGTGTTGGACTAAGGGGAAGGGGGTTTGCAGGTAGGTGGGCACAGTTAAAAAACCATGCACACACACACACACAGATCTGCATCAATATCATCACAGTGACAAGCCAGAGAAAACAGAAACAGCCAGCGAGCACAATCGATTACTGCAAGCAAATCGTACAGTTGCTATATTTCACATTTTAGCTGACAACTCTTTTCCCCGAGTGATGACTGTAGACCACACTCTCTCAGATAAGTGGATCAAAACAACCGTAAATAAGGAAATAGAGTAAGCATTTTCACATAATGTGTTTTTTATCCCGGGGTAATATCAACAGCGATGCAGCAAGCACAATGTCCATTTCAAACGGTTTGTATATCCAGGCAGAATTCACACAATAGCCTGCACTCTCATTCATGTAATGGCATCTCAACACTGATCTCATTTTAAACAACTGGAGCAATGTGTACATGACAACTGGCTTTACAGGAAACACGGGTACAACTTCCAGCTTCATCCAGGCAAACAACGCAATCCAAGTACACAGGGCGGAGCATCATTTTTTACAACATGCAGGTGGAGCGTACCGTACCTTAGAGTATTTCACAGGCTGTCCACAGGTAAGGGAGGGGTGTCGGGGGAGAAAAGTGCACAGGAAGAGAAATCAAACACACCACAGAAGCTTGGTGGAGGTGGGACAGAGGATTGTTACTTTAAGGAAGTGGAGAGGTTTGAATTAAATATGACTGGCCTACATATTGTGCGTACGAAGCTCTCCAAAACAATTCATAGCAAGACCACAAAAATCCTTTAATGCCGTAGTTTTTTAAACATTTGTCTGTGAATTGAAACTAAAATGCACAGCATGACATATCAGGAATTAATTAATTGTGCAGAGCATATGCTACCAAAGTGGCTGCACTGTGAGGCCCCTTTCTCTCACACACACACACCAGAGAAAACAAAAGCCAGACATGTGACCGCAACGATTCGGGTCAGTTTTGATGCGTTTGCTCGCAGCTCCATTTAACTGTCATGTGAATCAGACCTAGGCGCTGGAGGTGAGACGCAGAGAGAGAGAGACTGACTGGCCAACAGTGTGTGAGACAGCTTCACGCACCGGTGAGTGTGTGTGTGTTTGTACGAATAAACAGAAGGTCTCTCAGTAGCAGGCGTGGAGGAAGAGGGAGGGGGGAGGTTAGACCTGGCAGGAGCCATTTCAGGCAAAATTGTAACAGAGCCCAGCTTCCTAATCCCAACATGCTTCCCCACACACACACACACACACACACAGTTGTCCTTCCCACCTGTCCTCTAAAATCAAAAGGACAACCCCTCCCCTCCCTCATTGAGCCGAGGGCCAAATATCACCTATGAAAAATTGAAATGGACCGCCGTTCGCCCATCCGTTCGCTGCCTGTGACCCTTTTTCTATATCAGGTAATGTGGATGGGGAGAAAGGGGGAGGAAGGGAGCGATTTGGGACTGTGCGCCGCACCGCTACACCGGCTAATTGAGCGGCGAGGGGCCGGTGGGGACCGAACAATGCCGGCAGGAGATAAAGGACCGGGAAAAAGGGCTGAAGTCAGCAGAAGTAGGGCGGCCACCTGTCCTGCTCAGAGGACGACGGAGAGCTGGAGGCAGATGGCGGCAATGTCACACGGTTTCTCCCCCTCCTCCCTTCTTTCTCTGTAGGAATGCTTTTCCACCTCCCCCGTCTTCTTACCCCAAGTATACTCTATTTTCCCTCCACGATGAACATGCGTTTAACCGCCGCCCTTACACAGAATGACAAAATTAGCTTTGGAAAATGACAAGCGGAAAGGTCAGCCGCTTCAGCAGATCCTGCGACCAGCGAGTAATTATGTCAGGGTGAGTTTTAGGGAGAAAGAGGAAGGATACGGCGACTTTTGGAGAGGTCAAAGACAAAACATTAGTGGAAGCAAAGTCAACTCAAGGTGAGCAGTTAAAGGAGAGGGTAAAAAGAGCAGCTGGCTTGGAGAAAAGTCAAACGATTCAACCGTTTCAAATGTATTCTTGTTCAAATGTTAGGAAAATAAGTAGCGCCTTGGTAGCTCAGTCTGAAGAGTCCAATCAGTCCAATACAACTGAAGAAAGCATTTAAATGTCATGTCAATCTTAGGTTTAAATGTAGAAATTGTGCGCATGGTGGCTGTTAAGAATATAGCACATTACATTTCCCAATATCTTCTCGAGTGAGTTGCCTAAAGGAATGGTTTGTCATTTTATTAAATACATTTGATAAGGAATAGTCCAACATTAAGTTCGGTGTTTCCCCGTCTAAATCTTCCCTTCATGTTTTCCACCCTTTATCCATCAACACCCTGTTTTTCCTGCACTTTCACAACCCCTCAACCATCCCTCCCCCCTTCGTCTCCCCCCTGCAGCTTCACACATGCTGGTGTCATTCTGTTCCTCAGGGTAACGTAGACACAGGAAGTTGCTAGATAAACCAGGATTTGAGCTCCAGATTATCTGCCTGCCTGCTTCCCACCACGAGGCCAGATTGGCCTGAATCCTATTTTAGAGCCGCTGCCAAAAGATACAATCATTTCCTTCCCTGACCAGAGATCATATTCCTAATTTTGAGCACAAACTACAACACCAGTTTCACTTTAAAGCCAATTTACAAGTGCATACTCTGCACACAAAATAGAGACCTTATTAATTAGCCGTTTATTAGGAAGGGATCCTCAATCAATCCCCAGTAGATCCCATGCTTTAGTGTCTCCTATGGAGGATACAAGAGCTTCACTGGTTCCCTCTGTGCTGTGGCAAGACCCGCATTATTATTTCGGTGCACACGACACTTTTCAGAAATAGTTTTTCTTGCCGAAGCAGCCGGGAAAATCATCTTGAATGCCGCAGGTGACAGGAGATCCCCAGGGCAGCTGGTGTTTGACGTTGACTGCTAACTGAATTTTTCATGGAAATGAGCAAAGAAGAAAAGTGAATCTCGCCGGCTACGGACGCTTCTAACCTCTCTGATTTTACCACTATGTGACGGGTTGAGAAAGGGATGAATGTCCGGGTTTATAGGTCACCTATTATGCAAAATCCACTTTTTCATGTCTTTTATACATAAGCATGTGTCCCCTCTGTGTGAAGAGACTCTGAAAGATTCTCTCTCTTTTTGTCCAGATCCATTTATATAAAAACCTGTCTGAAAATGAGCTGATCAGATTTTGGCCACTTTATGATGTCATAACGATGTTTTGTCTTGTGTAACCATTAGCCAATCACAACCAAGGTAACCTCCCCCACCCCCTTATCACCTGAATCTCCTCCTAGAGCACCATTGGGTTATTTTTAACCAAATGTCTCTCAGAGGGGCGTGGGGAGGGGCTCCTTATTTTCATCTAAAGTAACAGACAGAGAATCAGCACTTTGGAAACAGGGCTGAAACAGAGGGGATTCTGGGATGCTTCAATGATCTGTTTGGTGTTTCAGCCAATCAGAGACATGTTCTGTATATATCTGAGACCTGTGATATATTGATGAGAAACAGTGTAATAGGTGACCTTTAAATCACATATATTCAGTACTGATCAGTGAGAGAGAGAGGGGTGTAACGGAGGGTTTCTTTACCTGGGCGTCCCTCGTATTGTTGCTGCCTGGTTCCTCTCTGCTGCTCTGGCTCGGGTCCGCCACCTCGGAGTTGCCGTCGTTTTCTTTTGGAGACGGCACCTCTTCGGCCGCCTCGGAAACCTTCATCGTTTCAGTGTCAACTGTGTCGGACATTCTCATTGCAAAGTCTTACTGGGAGATGCTGGCGAATACAGAGAACCTGAAAGAGATGGAAATGTCCGTGAGGGCTGTTTTTTTTTTCTTTGGAGAGTTGGCTAAAAGTAAGAATGAGACGCTGCAGAGGTAATCTTTTATTAAAAAGGCATGGAATAACAGGAACATATAAATAAAATATACCACAAAGTTCAAGTAGTTCATGTATTTATTCGATGGATGTACTCAGGCAGCTCTTCAAAATGTGTTATTGGAGTGAAAAAAGCCATTAATCTCAGATTTTTATCTTCAAATGCACCATTTCTACCTTAAATACTCACATATAGCTGTTGATATTTGCGGTGCCCCCACAAATAGAATCAAATTATGTGGGAAACACTGTACTATATATATATAAAAAGCATATGAAGAAGTCATTGTATTTAAACCAAAACAATAAAACAAGTTTTCACTAGTCAGAGACATTTATTATTTCAGAAAACACCACAAGGCAACACCTAAATCATTTAGTAAATTCAGAACTTTCAAAAGACATGAGGTAGAGATCAATGCATGAGCAGCTTTCTGAAAATAAACACCAAAGGGTGAAAGCACTGAGGAATCTGGTCCGATAGTGTTGCAGGCCTCCAGTATTGTCCCCCTCCTTCTCTCTACACTGTGTAATAGAAACAGTTCATCATCATTACTCTGAAATATGAACTCGTGCAAAAAATAGGACGCCGTGCATTAATCGATAAAAGCAATAACACAGGCCTACGTTATTAAAAAATAATCAGAATTTCAATACAGAGAGTACAAATGAGGTGTATTACTGTGAGCTCCATCCAATCACAAATGCTAAATAAACTAGGTATCCATAAACAAATAAATAAAAACGTACCCGTTCACACTGCATCATCTCCACGGTGCGGTCCGCTTCGTTGTTTGAGGAGACTTTACTAATGACTGTTTATTTAGAAAGCAGCTGTAATCATAACAGTGATTTGCCGCATGTGTACGGAAGATAATTTCCCACGAAAACGCCGTACAAACGTTTATATAGCTGACATCTTTAGAGTTGTTGCAGAAACACACGTGTAAATAATGTCATAACTGACGGATCTGTGTATAAATGGTTTCCAGATGTTATTCATGTCGCTACTTACACCTGTGTTTCACGTCTCAAACTCAAATGTTTCGCTGTGAGAAAGAGGCGGGGCGCTGCTCTGTATTCATCAATCTTTCCTCTCTGTCTCGCAGCTCTGCAGCTGTTCAGACTCACACAATGGACGTGATTGGAGAAGACACAGCAGGAGGACACTTTGGTCCTGAGAGATCCAACAGCTTCACATTACAGCGTCTGTCTCCACTCGGCACCGAAAAACAATAAACCTTTGACACCCTTGTTTGGAAGTGTTTGAAGGACACATGGAGGGTCAAGTATCCATCGCGTGAGACTGGAGCCACCAATTGGTACAAAATGTGTAAAGATATATGGATATGATGGGGCTTCTAAAGGGGCTGCCAGTGCAGCGAAAACACTCGTATAACAGATAAAAGGTTTTATTTAATATTAAAGAATGTTATGAGTATTAAAAAATGTATTTACTATCAGTAAAAATGTTGAATATTCTTGATAATTTCAAACTATAACAAGGTAAACAATAAAATTGTGTTATATTTGATAAGTGCAGCAAATGCGATGTTTTTAAATTGAGTGTTTGTCTGCTATCACCACTAAGCAGTACAGAAAAACCTAATCAAGACAGTCTATAGTCGTGAAAATGCAGATTACATTACACATTAGACTCATATGTGGTTTGATTTTAATGACTTATTCAAACATTCTGCACAAAACATGAAGATTTTCCCATTGGTACAATCTTAAATTTGTTAAAAATACAATTTCCAAATAAAAGATCTGCTTATCTTGGAGCATTATCTGCTTTGCACCTATGGTCCTTTGCATGAAACAACTGTGTAATGCCACGACCTCCCTATGTTGAAGTCATAGTGTGAGTTCATCCTGCTGATACGCCCTAATTATGCAGTCCGACCCCATGCAGGGAAAACACACACAAAGACACACACATATGCACGAGAAGGGAGGGCAGACATCTGGTACATGAGAGCTATGATTAATAGGTTAATTAGAAACGGGCGCATCAAATTCACTTTGCACATCAAAACTGGATTCACACACAACAGCAGCTACTCGAGTGTGTGTGTGTGTGTGTCCTTGCCAATCAGCGGGGCCTCAACCTATTTGCCCGCTAGTGATCAGAGCCATTTTCCTATCTGATCGCAGAGAGCCGGCTGAGATTGTTTATCTCCGTCCCAAAAGAGCTGAGACAGCGAGTGTGAGTCGCACCATGTGATTCCTCCATGTCAGAGTAATTGACTTCTAGTGAGGTCCTCTCTGCTCTCCTGAGCTTATCTGCCAGGCAAATGTAGCGCTAACCCAATGCTGCGTGAGGCTAGGAGGTTAGCTCGAACGTAGCGGGGCACTGGAGAGTCAGATGTTGAATTTCAATGACCCGTCAAAAAGGTTTCACAAAAGCGGCGGCGGCTACTGCTTTACATTATTTTTACATTCTGCAAGAAAACAGCTTAATTCTCCAGAGTGCTGCGCTGCGCCTTTGAATATTTAGTGTCTGTCTCTGACATTTTGATGAGTGAAGTCTCTTGAGTCGCTCTGTTGAAGATTTGCAATATTGGACAGATATTTTTCAAGAGCCGGGCTTGTGATGGATAGCTATTTTGCCCCTCGCCGAATCACTCATTCTTCCAAACACATTTTATCATGGGACTGGAGTGTTGGACTAAATTTGGCTCCAGACTTTGATGCATTTGAGTTTCCCCCCCCGTCTCATCTCTCATGGCGGAGGTAATTGCACCGTGTGCCTCTTTAGAATCCCTGATGTTTCCCCTGCATAAGTAATACAGATCATCATTTGATCCTTAGTGTTACATTAAGGAAACGTCTGGGAATTTAGGGACGAGCAAATTGGTCTCTTATGAGCGAAGACTGAAAGGGAACATCACTTTATTTTCCATATACATATTGTAATGTCATATTTTGGATTATTCACTCAATGTAATGATAGGTATTTGCTTTTAAGGGAAATGTCTAACAAATCAAATGCATTGCAGAATACCTGAATTTATTTTTCTTTCTCCAGTTATTACAAATATAGTTAATCACAGGTGAATTTACTACCTACATTTGTTGAGTTTAAAATGGTTAATCCATTCAGACTTTCAAAGTGCATGTATTAGGGAAAGCACCAGCTATCATTGTGTTTTTAAAAAGTTAAAAAATCTAGTCTAAGGCTAATTGGAGATTTAGAAGGACCCTCATATCTTTATCCCTAGGACGTGAATTTGGGAAAAGGCAAATGTCTATTTATGTGCACTTATATATAGAAAGTAAAGTGTTCCTATATCTTACTCTGAGCAATGCAAAGGTTGATGGTGTCGTTGAACAAGTGTGTACTAATTACGTCATCTGGTTACACCCTGTTCTTCTGCAGTGGTTTAATTGCACCCCAGTGGAGAATTAGCTCTAGAAGCTGTGTAATTAAACCAACCAACGTCTCATATCCGACAAGAAATGCTCTGATATCTGGTTGTAAACTTGACTTAAAATCCCTTAATAACATGCATCACATTCCCTGACTGACTGTTTATTTGAACAGATCTAAGGAGGATACGTACTTGTTGTGTAGATGCTTGTATGTGTAATTAAACGTCTTATATTCGTAAAAAACATGCACATGTGTGGAATTTTGTTTGCCCTGGTGTTAAGCAGCACATTATTACTCTCCCTGAAGATTTGTTTACCTACTTTTGATACATGCTCTGATAGAATAACATGCACATTTTACTGATGCCTCTCAGAATTTGGTTGTAAACTTGACTTGTATGACTTTAAATCCCGTAAAAACATGCATCACAGTCCCTGACTAAGTATTTATTTGACATAAAGATACGTACTTGTTGCGTAGATGCTTGTGGCGAAGGAGGACGAGGCTGGTGAAGTCGATGAGGCTGAGCCTACCGATGCCATCGAGACTTCTTTGCCCATTTCTGCTTCAGCTGCTCTGAACAGCAACCGGGGCCTCCGACACCCTCATGACCCCTGCTGACCTGCAACAAGAGAGGCATAGGGGTTAGGGGTGAAAGGTCAGGGCACGTGGACTGACAGTAATCGAGATGTCAGCAACTCTGGAAAATATTTGTGCATCGGAGCAAAAAAAAAGTTTTTAAAAAGTGTGTGTATTTCTGGGTCTGTGCGTGCCAATGCGCCATAAATAATAGATGAGCAAAGAGATGGGAGTGCGGCGGAGGCAACAGGAGAAGGCACCCCTGCCAACCTCCTAAAAAAAAACAAGTATTAGGAATTCAGAGAGCAGCGGGGGAAGAGAGCAAATCTCAGCATGAAAATCCTCTGCCATTTAGTCGCACATACATTTTCAAACCGTGTAGCGTACAAGGTCTTCTTCGTCCCAGCCAATGCCTTTCTGGATCAAATTCAGGGTGACACTGGGCAGACATCTGAATACGCCAACAACAGCAAAGCTCCATAATATTCACATCATTAAAAAATGTATGTGTGTATGTTCCAGCTTTCTCTTTAACTTTCCTGATAAATGGCTGCTTTACTCAGACATGTTAGTCCTGTACATTATGGAAATGTGACTGTTTGAAGACTTTATTGGATGTAGTTGCCAAATATCAGATTAGAGCTGCAGAATAATTTAGTCAATTCATCAATTAGTTGATCAAATGTTAGAAAAAAAGTGAAAAATTATCATAATCTCCCAAGGTGACATCTTTAAAATGTCCAAAACCCAACGATAACCAGTTTAAAATTCCATTAATGTTGGAAATGACTCCATTAATCAATGAATCAGTTATGTGTTGCAGCTCTACACTACATTATGACGCTTTGTATTCCCTTAACTCAACATAAATGAGTTCTCTATCTGTGTTTTAATTTTATATATGCACGACATCAAGTCAAATTCCTCACCTACCTGGTGATAAACCTGATTCTGATATATAACGGCACCTTCTTCTAGCCTCTCATTGTCCCCCTCCCTCCCCTCCCTCCTCCTCCTCTCGGCCTCAGTGAGCGGGCGAGGTGCCACGCTGACTCTGGCACCCCGCGGTGCCAAGGCCCGGCTGCTGCTCCCAACATGGCCGCGCTGAGACCCCCATGCCAGCCAAAAAGGTCAAGTGGAAACCCGGCTCACTTTATAATCTTCCTCCTCCTGATACCTCATGGCGGCAGACTGAACCGATGATCGTCGTACCGGGAAACAGTCGCCATTTGGTGCATTGCTTTTGTTCCAACAGCCCATAAAAGCACACATACTGTATATTTAATTAGTGATATCACCAGAACCTCTTTATATCTAACCAATCTGAGACTTAGCAAATTTGTGGGGAAAACGTCCCCTTCAGTCTGCAGCATTTCTCCCTGGCGTTGACAGGTGTGAGGCCCAAGGCAGGACCCATTCATCAATGTTGATGTCATTATTATAATGACTCACATCTGGAGAGAACACAACCTGGGACATTCAGTTTGCATGCAGCCAGTCATTTATTACCATCTCTACCATCGCCTATATATTCCCCCAGTCTTATCTTTACCCTTCTGCTCTTCTTTCCCCCCTCTTATCTCAGTTCTAAATGCAGCTCTTACAGGGTTATTCGGTTGTGACAGCAGGAGTATCATTTTGCTGCTGGGGCTCTACGCTTTGCCCTTCTCAGTTGTTCCAATTCAAGCCGCTGCGAATAAAGGTGCCGGCTAAAAAGTCTGAAACGGGAAAAAAATAATCATGATCCTTCTCTGTAATCGGTGTTGCTCCTGCAGCGAACACACAAGCACACACGCAGAGTGTAAAAGTTGCTCTGTCGGCCATAGGCGCTCCAGGTTTTATGAGCAGAGCTGCTGAGCGGGCTTCAGGACTTCACACTGAGCCTGTGTGTGTGAGTGTGTGTGTGTGTGTGCAATATGGTGGAGACAGCGTTATGAATGCTAATTGCGCAAACAATGCACAGCACAACCAGGAAAAAAAACTCATTTTGACAAGAAAAAAAAAAGGGAATATCACAGTTTGATTGGTGCTCAGCAGCTTCTAACACACCTTAGCACTGCAAAACACGCACATACACACAGACGCGCAGCAGTGAACTTGATGAGACGCTCCGCCTGCCTCCAGTTTTGTGCTGTGGCTGACAGGGAGTGGTTCATTGGTATTACAGTCGCCGCAGAGCGCAGCAACCTTAAAGAGAATCCCTCAGGCATCGTTCAGTGTCACAACGCCTCCGATCGCATATCAGCAACCTCACACTCACACAGATGCATCAAATCTACACAAATGCATAAGAAAATTGCAGATATGACCAATTAGTCCGACTGGAATCCAGGGAATAATTGTCACAAACAATAAAAACCAATACAATTTGATTACACCAACACACAGTCTATGCATGTATATTCTTTCTATGGAAATTCATTCTCGAAAAACCCACAGTGGGGTCATGAAGGTGGCCGTCAACTGAGCCGAATTAATCACACCACGCTCTTCATGGACTACTCTCACGGACAATTATGTTCGATGGCGAGTTAATGAGACATTTTTCAATCACTGTGAAGCGTAAAAGAGCCCACTGCTGATGGCATGTGCACACACACACACACGGGAACAAACGAGCAAGGACACTCCAGGACACTTATATTCCTCACACACACACCTGGCTCTTGCAAAAGGCTGACCTTTCCCTCTCACACCTCCGCTCTGTTCAGCTCTGCGTGGATCAGGGCTCTCGTCTGGGCTAAATCCAGCTCAACTGCAGGTGAAGGACTCTCAATCCCTCCCTCTATCTGCTACTCTATTCCCACCTCTATCCTCCGAGCAGAACGAGGAGATGAGTCAAACACGGGGCGGAAAAGAACAAGCCATCACCCTCACCAGCTTCTGTGTGATCCTGAAGATTTATAAGCGCCCTGAGGAGAAACAAAATCAAATAAAAGTGTCAGCATCTCTCTGCATGCAGCTGCAGATAATGCGCTGAAAAATAATTCATGCTTTATTGCCGGGCTGATGAGCGTTTGCAAGTGTCACATAAAAAGAACAACGGGGAGAGCGGTGCCAAACAGCTGGGATATTGTCTGCAGAGATGTAGAATAGTAAACCGCTCTATTCAGCGGAGCACAGGGAAACAAAAGCAGACCGAAGTACAAAAGGTAACGCCATGTCTGAGGGATGCAGCTTTGTGTCACCTGCACACACTGAGGGAAAAAAATCACCACTTGTGCTCGGCTGAGTTCAATTGTGCATTCATGCCACAGGAATCACAAGCAAGCCAGACATTTTACGGCTACGCTGACTTTCAAACACGCCGACTACGAGTAATTCGGTTTCAGCATGGTACCGGACATGCACCCTGGCTGAGAAAATCAGACATCAAATAAACAGTTAATTAGGATACTAATGCTGGTTTGCACTCGTGGCGCTACGATAAAATTGATTTCAGCGTTTTGCTAAACTGAGTAACTAATCTCCCGTTTTCTAGCCATTTCTGCTAATTACAAAGCCAGGAAAGCGCTGACAGGGGAGCTATGTAATTGGACCAGAAAAACGATTAGCGAAAAAGCTTATGAAATGATATCACTTTCATACACTGCTTGCCTCAATTTCTGGGGCGACTGAGGCAGTGTCAGTTTAAGGAACTGCTTGTAATAGCTCAGACTGGATTAACTGAAAAAACATAAACAGGCATAAATGAGCCTCTAATTGCGCTTTTCTCCGTGCCTGCAGGTCACATGAGGCGGTGCGGCGGAGCTCAGGCGCAGTCAGACAGCATTAATAAATTAAATCCACAGCAGAGCATGCAGGTAATCCATTACCTATCCCACAGGAGAGCTTCCAGGGAATATCAATCTAGGCAATTAGGGGAGAAACAATAAACACAGAAAACTAACATGCAAGTCTAGCAGTTTTAATCTATGGAGCCTTATGAGAGGAGCATAACTCAGAAAGTCTGCCAGACTCATTAAAAGTCCATTTGCAGTGAACACCTGCAGAACAAACAGGGGAGCGAGGCTGGAGACGGAGTACAATGCAGAGCGATGCCTCTCATTGGCTGGTCTTGGATAATTATCCTCGTAATGAAAAGCAGAAGCTGCATTGGCAAACTGGCGAGGAGATTTGGAAAGCTTTGGCTCAGCTCACTGAGTAACACGGCTCTCTGAGCGCACACAATCTCATGTTGCACTGAGTTCAACAAGCCAGAGAGAAATACTAACTGCTGCCATGCAATCATAAAAAAAGAAATCAGATACAGAACAGGATTTTCTCATGTGTGTTCCTTTTTAAAACAGCATTGAAAATCACCTTAAGCAGAAATCAAACAACCTTAAAAAGGCACAGGATAGAGAAAATCAGAAATAAATGAGAAATATGAAGATGAAATGAGAAGAAGGATGAGAGATTCATGCCCTAAGTGGCTGGAGGCTGCAGGACCTACCTGCCCGGCAGCTCTGCCCTCCATCCCTTCTGCTACTCAACCGTTTAGTTTCCATTGTACAGGAGGCACAATCTGCTGGAGAGGAGGCTGGGGTCGCCTCCCAGCTCGCTCCTCTGCAGCTGCCTGCTGCCTCCTGCTCGCTCGCTCGACTGAGTGAGAGTGAAGACGGGGAGAGGGGAGTGTAAAGGGAGAGGGTGAGGGAGTGGGTGTCACAAAGAGAGAGAGAGAGGGAGGGAGGGAGGGAGGGAGGGAGGAAGAGTGCTGTGCGAGCACAAGTCTACCTGCCACAACCCATCAAGCCAGCCAGCCTTGGAGACAGCGCCAAATCAACAGCTGGCCCCCGTGTGATGTCAGAGCCGAACAGCCAGTCAGAGCAGCCGTGGCCGGACGGCACTACGGAGCCGACTGAACCAAAGTCACCGGCTAAATGGGGCTCTTCATTAGCTACTCTGCTTTAGGATGGAGGCGGGGGGAGGTAGAGGAGGAGAAGGAGGAGGAAAGGGCAGCCAGGGACATGGGATAGATGGAAGGAGAGTGAGAGGAAGAGGAGAGGGTGGGAGGTAAGGCGCAGAAAAGAGTGGAGAAGGAGAAGAGAAAGGACAGGATCGACATGTCGGCAGCCAGCTAGGTGCTCAAAGAGCAGGTGGAGAGACGATGGGGAGGCGCTGGCCGCTGAGAGGCCGAGCTGTTCACTGGGCTACCTTCCCATTAAAGCTGGCACCCTGCGCTCCACACATGAAGGCAAGCTACAGCTAATCCCACTGACTCAGAGAGAGCCACCACCTGAAATACCACCCATTACTCAAAGCAGAGGAGGAGTAAAACACTGCAATAATATTGAGCTTTAGGCAAATCTCAGATAAGCTTATTGGTGGATCAGAGAGAAAACAATACACTGCTGCATGAGGAAGAAGAGCAGCTGCTTGTGCATGATCAAACCGCACCCCTCACCTCCTCTGTTTGATCTAAATCTGACTTTGGAGGATTGAATAGGAAAAACAAAAGGGATCACAGCCTCCACTTGGCTTGTTTATTTCATTAAGGATCGAATATCTTACATGACAGCGTGATAATTGAGCTTTGGAAATAATTGACTTCATGAAGCACTCTCCTCACTAAGTGACAGACAGGCTGTCAAAGACATAGGAAGTCACACACCGGTCCTATGCAGCTGAAGTCTAGACTGCCATAATGTGATTGTTTTTGTCCTTTCAGTCACTCAGACTTTAACAGCAAACACAGTGGGCGGAAAAGTTCCTGCTGTCACTAAGCAACCAACACTAGACTGCGACAACCGATCCGATGCGATCCTGCCTCATAATTGTACCATTCGTTATGCCAGGCCTCTGAAGAATGTATTATTGTGCTTCCTTAATCCCATGAAAAGGTCACCAATTGAACAAACAATTTATGGATAGGCGGATGAATTATTTAATGGCCCAGACCAAATATTATCGGAAAGAGACATTTTTTTCCCCCCTGGAAGGCGATGAATTATTTAGTCATCGGGGCCACATTCGGTGAAAGCCATTACACAGCATCCTCAACCTCAATATCTGATAATGTCATCAGCTCCGAATGTGCCCTAACCTGCGTAATGAACGGTCAACAGAGTCTCCGCTGCAGAAACAGTTATGGTAAACAATTATTAGCGTTTATTTTAAGCCTGGGAGTGGTGTGCCACAGAGTGTACACCACCACAACCAGAGCTTTGATTTAGTGTACCTCCGAATGCACAATACATCACCCAGCAGGTAAAAACAGACGCTGATATGTTTGAGGGATAACCATATTATCCAAATGTGCACAATCAGATTGAGGGATTCTCAATCAGCAAACACACAACGACTTATTATGGTCATAAATCCCTGTAAAGTACACACACACACACACACACACACACACACACCACACAGCCCTGCAAAGATTACCACATCATCTCCTGTAAACCAGCAGCCGCAGGGACGGAGCACTCTCCACCCACCAGGCTCCGCTGGTACCTTAATGAAAAAGATACTATCATGATGCCTCAGTGGTGGCAACGTATACGCTTTCAGTGCCATCTCCAGCAAAGATGAGGTAATAATTGCCTGGGTTAATGCATAGGAATTATAATGGGTTATTTATTACACAAGTACTAAAATGAGATGTTTTATTTATGGCATTTTTACGAGAATGAATGTAGTTCAAGTCAGGTTTCAAGGTCCACTTTTATAATCTATGTGACAGTAATGGAGTTGCACTATGTTTTAAAACTATACTACTATATAAAAAGGCTTTTTTTAAACATGCATTAAATCAACACTTGGCGTTGATGATGTGCACAGCTCCACTGCATCATTCATTGATTAATATTATTGTATGCAACAAGCCTTGGATACAGTGAGAGTGATTGACATTAATGCATTTTATTTATAATTAATACAAATATAACATGAACACTTATCTCCCTTATTGATAAAATAAGCTGCTTTGGTTATCTTGTACTTGTCAGGTAACGTTAACTGCGCAGCGTTTTATGTCAATTATTAATACGTGGGCTATATTAATACGGGGGACATTTTTTTCTATGTTTCCATAACGATGAAGGAAATGTCTAATATCCAGTTATCTATCCACCACAAAGACAAGATATGAGTATTAAAGGTGCGAGGATAAATCGAAAGTATATGCATTTTATTTAAATGAAAGCAATGCAATTTAAATGCTACTTTTCGGTGGCTATTGCTACACCAGACTCCATTACAAATGTGACAATTTGAATGTTTCCTCTGTATCGACCAACCGACAAACTACGGACAACAGGTGACTTTTTAATCTGAACATATATGCATGTAAAAAAAATTCGGCGTGTAAAACAATTACAAAAACAGCAAAGCAATGCAATTAAAGCTCATTTTATTGAAATGGCATGCCGCATCTTAACGGGAGAGAAACAGCCGAAGCAGGCCTAAAAGTTATTAAATTCTGCTGTATTATTTAACTACTAATGCACGCTTTTTTCCGAATAAAGCCGAATTTAAGAGTGTCCTCTAACCATTTCGAGTCCACATTTGCGTGCAAGGTGTGTGCTTTTGCAGCAGCGCAAAAAGCAACATTATATCAGCCACATTTTTGGCCTGCCACTGGGGCTTGAAATCGGCCAAACACCGGTGTCATGCACGAGCAGGAGACATGTTTACTGCTAACTAGCTCATGAAAACGCCACCCTTTCGGAGTCTTTTCCTCCAATAATTGTTGCACATGATACTGCAGATATCTAACGTTGCCTTACCTCTTTTGGTTAACACAGTTGAGTCTCTACCGAGGGAGAAGAAGCGAAATGAAGGAGAGAGAGCAGAAAGCCTGGTGCGTCAGATCCTTACGTCGGACACGTAAGGGTGTTGAAAACATGACACGTTTTTGTCGTTGCTGGATTTTTTTTGTGCGTAATGGCACTTTGCATGGAGACTGAAAAATTATCCAACTAATATCCTCCTGAGGAATAAAAAAACGTCTTCCAATTTCCTATTTTAGCCCTAAATTATCTATTTAGGGTTTAAAAATATTTGCTGGGTAGCTTGTGAATTTCTTCCAGGAGTCACTACAGTCTTATTTAAGTGTTGTTTATATTTAACATCATTAATACAAATCTGCACACGTCTTAAATACATGTAGTGGAGTAAAAGTACACTATTTACCTCTGAATTGTAGTGAAGTAGATGTACAAAGTAGCATAACATGAAAATACTCAAGTAGTATCTCAAAATAGTACTTTAGTAAATGAGTAAATTTACTTAGTTTCTTCCCACCTCTGCATAATGGCACTAAAAACAATATATCGCTTATAAAATATATTAAAAGTTAACATTTGTAGGTAAATGTCATTGCATTTGTTTATAAAGAGATACAGGAAGTTGTATGCGTGATGACGTCACGTGCAGCGGATGCTAGGTGACCTAAACAGAGACATTTGCCGGGAAACTTTCTCCTGTTTCAGTCCAGATTAAAGTGATTCCGGCGGCTCTTTCCACTGTCTAACCGGGTAAGGACACCACACACACACTCACAAATACAAAGCTTGTTTCTTGTTATGTTGCTTTGCTAACAAAAGGCTTTTATATGCATGCTATGTGCTTAGTTACTGCTGCAGGATCACGATGCATAGCAACCACTGACTGCATGTGTGGCTGCACATGGGGCATTTAAATCAACATAAAAGTCAAATAAAGCGATAATGTTAGCTTGCTAGTTTTCTACTCGCATGGTAGCTTGATGAGGGAGTCAAATACCACACAAAAACAAATACATCCGGTTTTAAAATAATGATTATATGGGTAAAGAGCTTTTATTTTTGTGGGCAGGTCTGTTTACTTCCGGTGCTGCTAAATCCTGACTTTATTTTAGGTGGTTAAATTAACTCCAAATATGTTTTTGCATACTTTATTGTGTGTTAACTTGTTGTTGGCCCCTAACCTTGCAAAATATAATTATTGTGCGATGATATAATATGTATAAATTCACTGTTTTGCATATTGTGTTTATCTTCTACTGCTGATATATCGTTATTGTTCTTTATTAGTATTATATTTACCTCTAATTCATGTGCAATGTCTTATCTATGCTGCTGAAAATTGGGATCAATTAACTATCTTATCTTAATATATCACAGATACAGTGAATTTAAACTTCATTAGATACACTTTATCAAACTGCAAAACACTGATTTCCAGATCAGAAAATAATACTTTGACGCCTTAAGGTGATTTTAGTTGAATATTACCTGTTGTTAATATGTAGTATTGTTGTTCTAAGCATTATAGCTATTATAACTAACATAATTAATCTTAAAAATGAGCTTTGCACACAATATATGACATGCACATCCTGTTCTCCATCTGACCACTGTTGTTCTGGGATGTTGGTACAGTTTTAGACATAATGAATATGTGGAGTTGACACTTATAGGGAGGCTTGACAGCAGCAGGTGAGGCAACACAGAAAAGATGCTGTAACTGCAGGCAGCTGAGACGGCAAACTTTGACCACCTCATCTAAAATTCGGACTTTCTTTGTCCACTACACTGCGTCACCCATCCTCTCATAATGCTATTCCTGTCAGAGCTAATAGGCAGCAGGGGACGGCTCCTCAACATTATTATGTAACATGTTTACATCAGCATCAATACTGCAAACAATATTGCATTTGTACATCTTATTTATGTAATGTATCATATTCCAATTACTTGTATATACAGTAGACTCTCCTTACACTATTTTATCTGTTTTATTGTGTTGCATTGTTGGAGGATCCTGTGAACTAAGATTTTCATTGACATAACTACACGATAGCTATGTACACATGACAATAAAAGCCTTGAATTAAATCTTGAATTTATTTTCTCTTTTGCTCCAGCCCAAAATCTGTCGGCTGAATGAGCGAGTGCCGAGAAACTGATGAGGATATACAAATGGAAATGGACGATAATGGCCTGCAGACCCCTCGCTGTGAAACAAGATGGTCACAGCAACTGTCAGGCCTCCCTCCCAAGCTCCTGCAGCGTCTGATGCCTTTCCAATTGGAAGGAGTGGAGTTCGCTTTATCTAAGAATGGACGGTAAGCAGTCCGTTAAAACACAGCTGAAGTCAATTTGTATAGTATATCATTTTCTATGTGTGGATTTATGAGGTTTCATTCATCCATAGCTATCTGCTATTGCACCGACCAAAAAAAAAACACCTCATTCAACCCCAAAACATATAACTTTTATGTTTTGTTTAAAATCATTAATTACATGACAAGCGAAACCATTGATTTGACGTCTAAATGTGGACCCAAAGACGTCTGTTGTTAATTTGTAAGGGACAGTGTAATCCCCCCTTTGAATTTATACCATCCTGTGTTTGTGTAAATATTAAGATATTGATATGAAGATGCTTTCACCTTTTAAAAAATCAGATTTTCTTTACTCAGGAGCTTCACAGCAATTACAGAAAGAGGCAAGGTGTTTGTCACGGATATGTTTACAGCACATTTTTTCCCATTAGTCATTTAGTCAAATTTTATAGTATGATTGCATAGATAATATGCTTCATTGAGCGTTAAAGTGAGCAGTCCTAATTGACCTATATAGCAGGAAAGCGCTGATTTCCGTCCCATATTGATAGCTCAAGAAACAAGTAGAAAGTCAAGAATATATTATGTAGCAAGGTCACATAGGGTCCATGTTTTATCATTGAAAACAATCACAAGTCCATGTAGAGTTTACTCGGCTGCCCTTATGTCCGTAAGTGTTTGGCAGGACTTCCTCCCAGTCGATTTACAGGAAGGTCAGCGCAGGGGGAGACAATCTGAGCGCCGCCGAAGTGATGCAGAGCGGCCATATTGATTCAGAAAACACTGGGAGGCGATGCTTTGTTACACTGGTGGGTCAGGAGTCAATTGGCTCTGGCTGCACGGTGCAGAAAGCTACCTCAGTCAATTGGCATCAATGTGACAGGAAGGGCTTCTCTCTGGAGACGAGAACAAGTGACATTAGCTCAAGATATTACAGTTAAAGGCAGCCTGCTTTACTCTCAATCTCAATCTCAATCTTTATTTGTTTGTGTAGCACATTTAAAACAACCTCAGTTGACCAAAGTGCTGTACAGGGAACACACACAATATGAAATAACACTAAAATAATAAAACAATAATTAAAGGTCCCATGTCATGCTTTTCCGGTTATTACCCGTCCCCTTGTGTTATGAAGCTTCTGCATGTAAACGGTCTGCAGAGTCACAAACCCTCAAAGTACACCCTGTAGGGAGTAAAACTCTAACACAGAAAAGACCTGTCTATGCTGCCCCAGAACGCCTCGTTGGACATTTCTCATGTTCCATTGTTTGCTTCCTGGGTTCTGTGACGTGTGAACACCCACATCAACAACAAATGACCGGATTGGCCCAAATGGACCAATCCGTGGAGCACCTCACACACCAGGATCCCTTGGCTAACTAACAGGGAGCCCCCATTGACTTGCATAGAGCTCTCTGAACGCTGGTAATAGACGAGTTGGGATGGTGGAGAAATGCTCTCTGCAGACCCATTCTCACAGCGTTATAAACCTTTTTCTTTCTCAATATCAAGCCACACTTATTGTTTTTAGTTCGGCTGTGAGTGTTTGTGTGTGCTCAGGATGAGTTTCGCTTGTTCTCGCTGTATCGCCGACCCGGAAATCTGTCCGCTCTTCGCAGCAGCGAGCCTCGCAACGTCCCGACCAATCAGAGCACACTGGGCTCACAGGGAGGGGGGGGCAGGAGCAAGCCGTGTAGGACAGAGAGTGAATACACATACTATACAGAGATGCTGTATGAGAAACCAATGTGATTTTGGAAAATTGCACAATTTAAATGTATTCTAGTAGACCTCAACAATGGAATTATGATCAGTAGAAATGGCCATGACATGGGACCTTTAAAAATATGATAAAATGCACAATAACTAGAAACATATACAAACATATACAAATGTCAAAATGTTATTCTCAACTAGTAATAAAAGCCAGGTGAGTTTTGAGCTGAGATTTACTACAATATAGACTACATTCTGTATGCCTACTCAAGCATACAGTAGGTGTTGCTCAGGTGGTGATAGGCAGCTATAATAAGCTTTAGGATATGATTGGACGATAGCTGCTTGTGGGAGGACTTCTCTTCTATTCATATCATATTTGCTACAGTAGGTTTCCAATTATTTGTGTCTCCTTTTAAATCCATTGTGTCCTTCATTAGTAATAAGACATGAAGCCATTTTAGGAAGCCACCTCCTCCACATCCAGGTTGCTACACATAATAAAAGTAGTATAGTGAGATGATAATACAGTGACTAAGAGGCGCTTTAAGCCCGCTGTGTGCCGCACTCACACACAGGCAGACGGTAAAGATGATAACGAGCTAAAAATTGTCTTTTTATTGACAGTAATCTCCATCTTTTGATGTATCCGACGCACCCTGCTGTTCTTTATTTGTTCGTTTAATCTCCTCGGAAAGAGAGGAGAATTAAAGCGCCAGTGTCTTTTTCGGATGCTCAACAGAGACCAGATGTAGCTGCAGGCTTGCTGGATTTTTTTAGGAAGGAATGTAGCAATTCCCACAAATGTAAGATGCCTGAAGTGAAACTACACAAACTGACAGACAGAACAAGATGCCAGCCCTTCATTATGATATAACTCCTGTAATGCACTGAGCTGCGTACATTGATGTCTGATATCTAACAGTGTGGGAGGATCCGTGGGACGCTTTTTCCTTTTAAATCTCACATTGGTTGTGTCTTTCCGCATCATCAAGAGCATCGAACCGAATGCCTCAAATGTTGTTGCAATTCAAATACTTATGGGGCCCACTGTGTGGGAGGGTGAGTGAGTTTTATGAGGGATAATGTGGGGAAGTTGTGGCACAGTGCGACGATAAAAACCCCTGAGATGTGGTTTATTGCATTGTTAGGAAAGTTGAGCAAAAGTGTGCCGTTCGGGTGCTGACATCTGCACATATTCAGCTTTTCTAACCCGTGTTACATCGGTACAACGCACTACTCCATCCATTAGGACCTCTGGTCACTTTCATTAAGGTGTTGACTGCTTGAAGCACTCTATGTCCGCCTCGCTCTGATTTGTCCGAAGTCTTATTGTTAGTGACTGCCTGTGCTTTTATTAAATAAGGCCGGGTGTGCTGTTGTGAGAGGAGATCAATAAGCCGGCTGTGTTGTCTCCGCCTGTGACGGTCAAATTACTGAGAAGTCCTTCCAGAGATGGACTTAACTATCTACGCACACACAAGATGATTTATTTAGTCGTCCATAAGTGTAGGTCATAATAAAGAGACTGTACACAGAGTGCTTCCATTAAATCATTGGGCGATTCTGCAGTTACAGTACTGGGAGTTCAATTCATCTTATTTCTGTAGACCAACCTTTAACGCCAATGGTGCATTCACTTGCTCCTCAGATGGTGCCGTTTACAGAGATGGGAAGTCATTGTGGACATTCAGTCTTAATGTGGAAACAACATGGAAGCTAGAAAGTATACAGATGCTTAGAGCAGCATTTACTTTCACGTTGTTTTTGTGTGATATGACCTGGATCAGGATCAGTAGCTTTTTGATAATGTTTCTGACGGACGGACTAACTTAGCTCAAAACGTGCAATTAAAAACTTCAAATAACCAAAGGATCTTGTGGGAAACGATGCACTTGTAGGACCAGTAAGAAGCTGGGGAGATAATATAGAGTTTTAAGGCCCAGTATATTTGCTATAATTTACAGCAAATTAATTTCTCGTTAAATAGTTCATTTTTTTAGCATTAGATTTTAAAAAGCCAATGTTGATTCAGATATGGAAAAAAGAAGATATAATCAATGCACTAGTTGATAATTGGTCCATATATTTAGGCTAGAAAAACAAAATCAACTCAACAAAAAGACAATTCATAAAAGAGATCAAATAATACTTAAAAAATAGACATTGTAAATGCAGCAAAAAGTGCTAACGTGCATGGATAAAGCATAGTTAGATGATCTCTGGAAAAGCAGCATTTTAGAGTGACACTCACTATTGAAACATCTTCCATCACATACTTGCAGAAGAAAAGCTCAAACCCTTTTCCCTCTAAAGGCTACTTTGTTTTGATTTCAAGTTCATTCTCCAAATACAGCAGCACTGCTCTCTGAACCCAGAGATGTGTGTGAGCACGGCGAGGTGTGTGAGCACGGCGAGGTGTGTGTGAGTGAGCACGGCGAGGTGTGTGAGCACGGCGAGGTGTGTGTGAGTGAGCACGGCGAGGTGTGTGTGAGCACGGCGAGGTGTGTGTGAGTGAGCACGGCGAGGTGTGTGTGAGCACGGCGAGGTGTGTGTGAGCACGGCGAGGTGTGTGTGAGTGAGCACGGCGAGGTGTGTGTGAGTGAGCACGGCGAGGTGTGTGTGTGTGAGCACGGCGAGGTGTGTGTGTGTGAGCACGGCGAGGTGTGTGTGTTTGAGCACGGCGAGGGTGTGTGTGTGAGCACGGTGAGGTGTGTGTGTGTGAGCACGGCGAGGTGTGTGTGTGAGCACGGTGAGGTGTGTGTGTGTGAGCATGGCGAGGTGTGTGTGTGTGAGCACGGCGAGGTGTGTGTGTTTGAGCACGGCGAGGTGTGTGTGAGCACGGCGAGGTGTGTGTGAGCACGGCGAGGTGTGTGTGTGTTTGAGCACTGTAAAAGCATTTCTGCAGCTCTTTTGTGCAGCGCTCCCTCCAAACCACGGCACACTTCAGGTCCAGTCCTCAGAAGAGAACCTGGAAGATTGGGGTTAGACACCGGGCCACACAACACATCACTGTGCCGAGGTCAAACCCATCAAATCATCGCTAGGCGGGGGTTTTGGGGGGGGGGTTTGGAGCCCATTTCCTGACACTTTGGGGCTTGTGGGTTTCAGAGATAACATTAGAAAGATGGGGCCGTGCCGTCGTCAGGCAACAGCTCTGCAGCATCCTCGCAGTCTCAAACCGTCAAGACGACACTCAGGTTATTTAAAGCAGGATGATTAATGTGTTGGGAAATGGCAAGCACCTGCCCCAGTGTGGGTGTGTGTGTGGGTGTATGCGCATGCACAAATATGTGTGTGTGTGTACACGTGTTTTGCTTTTTTTGCATATCTTTTGTGTGCATTTTCACACACATACTGTCCTGCTCGTGTGTGTGTATCTGTGTGTGTGTGTGTGTGTGTATTGCGCTGACTGGGCCGGTGTGCTGGCAATTAGAAAAACCACCAGTGGCAAGGTGCACATTAATCATGTTCCTCAGCTGAAAGAGAGAAATGGGGCGGAGATGGGGGGGAAGAGGAGGAGGAGGAGGAAGAATAATGAGCGGCTGTGTCTGAGGTATTCAGAGCCGGGCGCTCGCACTGTTTGCTCTGACATGGCGTTGGAAGCATTTATGAATAAGCAAGGTCATGACAATAGGCCCAAATCCACCGGGCGGAGAGAAGCAGGTTTATCAATCTTTACTTTCTCCGCGGGGACGACTTCAGCTAAGGAGTGTGACACACTTTCATTGTTCCTCCATCATGTACAGTGTAGTGTGGGGACTAGTGGGCTGTTATAAGGTTGCCAGAGAACCATATCAGAGACAGCCACACAAGTGAGGCTATTCCCAGTTTAAGGCTCAGTTGCAGGAGTATCATTAACTCTTACAAATGGGAAATTTAAGGAGAGTTATCAAAAGTGGGAGGGACATTTTTATAGTATATTAATGGTTAATTGATCATCAAAATATGTGTTAGATCTAACCTGGATCCTAACGTTTAAACTTTGATCATTGTGTGGCAACTCTTTGAGATGCATAACAAGCCGTGATTCAAAACAAATGAGATACTTTTTCATGTTTCCTTTCTTTTCCTGTGAAATCAGATGAAACCCAAACACAGTATGCACTCTCCGAAGACACAGGCATTTCCAATAAGCAGCACAACAACAACATAAATATTGAATAGCAACAGCACTTGTCAAACTGAGACAAAGCACCAGTGCAGACATATATTACAAGTGACAGATCTGTAATATGTCCGAGAGCAGAGTGTGTGTGTGTGGTGACAGTGTGTGTGTGTGTGAGGTAACAGTGTGTGTGTGTGTGTCGTCGCCGTCGGCTTGAGCAAAGCCCCTTTGTATATGTAATCTACTTCTTTATATAACAACCAGGGCAGCTCTGACAAAGTTTTCTTTTGTTTTACAGATGCATGATCGCTGATGAGGTAAGCACACACAACGCTGGCTCAGGAAAATCTATTCCCCCAAAAAATGAACGTGGGACTTCGCTGCATGCCGTCCAAATTAATTTGTCAGCCCAGCGCAGCACTCCCACCTGCCTAATCGCTTTTGACACGAGAATCATTCTGAGACCTTATTACTCTTGGGCCGCACATCAGCCCCAGCCGTCATGTGTAATTTACCGCAGAGCCGCTGCAGAATTGACTTTGTTTTTCTTTCCCCTTCGCTGGGTGTTGATTTTCTGCGTTCCAGATGGGTCTTGGGAAGACGGTGCAAGCCATTGCTGTTGCGTACGCCTACAGGAAGGAGTGGCCCCTGCTGGTGGTGGTGCCCTCGTCCCTGAAGTATCCGTGGATCGAGGAGCTGGAGAGGTGGATCCCCGAGCTGCAGCCTGGAGACATCAACCTGGTGGAGAACAAGAGCCACACCATGTAGGTCACAGCGTCACAATAGGATATGATATTGCTTCTTTGGACAGGGATCAGATATCACAAGGTCCCGATCCATATGTCATTACACACCTAGCAGGTCGTCTCCTTTCACCTTCATCCCTTCAAACAACCTCAGCCAGGCTAAACAAACAAATGATAAGGTGTAGTTAAATCTGCATTAAGTGTTTTTTTGGCCTATAATCAATCCAATAATCACTAAATGTTTTGCTCCATTTCGAAAAAACAACCCTTTACTTTATCATACAGACTTTGTGGTAGTATGGTTTAAAACAGGGGTGTCAAACTCAAGGCCCGGGGGCCAAATCCGGCCCGCGACTTCATTTTATGTGGCCCCACAAGAGCTTGCAAAGAATATAATATGTTTATTATACGGTTACATGCTACTTTACAGAAGCACGTTGCCCATAAACGACATGTCCCACAATGCATCTCAAATTTGCCTTTTTCTCAGAATTTGCCTTTTTTTGTCCAAATATGCCTTTTTTCTTAGAATTAGCCTTTTTCTCATGAATAGATATTTTTTTCAAAATGTCACTTCTCTTTTTCAAAATGTCACAATCAATGTTTTTCCAGAATGTGGCTTTTCTTTTAAAATCATATTGTGACATTCTTACTGAAGAGACTTGCAATTATTTGCTCTAGACTTCTGCTTTCAGACGTAGTTAATTATGAAGTTATATTAATTAATGATATAGTCTTAAAGTTACAACCGGCCCTTTGAGTGCAACCATAATGCTGATGTGGCCCGTGATGAAATTGAGTTTGACACCCCTGGTTTAAAAGAATCATTATCAAATGTTTTGCTAGAATATATATATATAATGGATTATCTGATTCACACGCACGACTCATTTCCAATCAGCAACCTCATTTTTATACTTGACATTGGTTTTGGGGAACAGTTTAATATTGGCAACATGAGGAAGTCTTACCGCTGTCAAACTTTTTATTAGGTCAAAAAGTGAAACCTTGAGGGAAATATGCTGAATTTAATATCCATAGTGGTAAAAACTAGCTGTATTTATTACTTACTTTGGTTAAAGGTCACATCTATAATATTTCTTTAAATGCATTACTTGTCTGTCTCCTTTTTAAATATTATTTAAATCACTGAAATGTAATTTAAATTTAAATAAGTACGTCCATATTTGTTGTCCAAGAAAAAGACATCACAATTAAAACAGCAAAAGTTCGAAGGAAATATTAAATAAATGTATTATATAAAAGTATTATATCAGGTGGCACAACAGTCCTGTATTATGTAGGTAATTAAGACTTGATTCACTATATTTGAATAATTAATTTAGGGTACATTTCTTCATGTTATGGCGCAGATATGGACACATTTGCAGATTCAGACCCACAGATTTTAAACGCTCATAGATTATTTAAACCACGTGTGTATCGTGTTCATCTTTCATAGCAAGTGAAACATCATTTGGACTAAAGTGGAAGTTGTGGTAGTGTCTGTCTGCTTCTTCTTCTTCTTCTTCTTCTTCTTCGCATTCAGGCGGTAATAATTGACCTAAAGAGAGAAGGAATAGACACGTAAACACGCTCGGTCACACCGCACTGTGATGGACAGAGAAGTTTTGCCTGACAATTTAATCTGAAAGTGTCCCCGGGTGTCAGGAGTCAGCGGGCCGATGTTTGACAGCGCTGACAGACAAATCATGTCAACGCAGCGTCGGCAATATTGCTGGAGGAATGTTTTGTGTAAAAAATGCTGCGGTAGAGAAAAGCGTCTCATATTCACAGCTGTTTATATTGATTCAGGTCCATAACAATGTCTAAAACACTTCTTTATCAGTTCAACTTTCCCCCAGTTTCTTCCTAGTTGTATTTTTGAATGAAACTTTTCTCTATCTGTGACTTGGAGGAAAAAAAACTCCTCAGCACCTCACATCACAGTGGAGGCGCAGAGAGGTTGTGAATGCCTTCTGGGGGAAAATGTGTCCTTGAACCGGGATGTGTTAATGACTGAACAGGGAGGCAAGGAAAAAAATTATGCAGCGCCTCCTCTCAGTATTTTTGACTCGCTCCTTCTTTTGTAGAACATGAATGGCACCTCAGGTTTATTTCAGCTCGGGAAAGTGTGTGTGGTGAAGGCGATGAATTAAAATCGCAACAGATGCTGGAGAGTTTTTGATTTCTCAGAGATTCTTATTGAGTTTCATGCTTGCTCGTTTGTTTATCCGCGACTCTGTAGCTGTGTGTTTGTGTTAAGACATAAAAGCGGAAAATGCAATACAGCTAAGGACTGCATTTCTTAAGCAGGAGAAAATACCTGCAGCCCTAGTTTGTGCCTGGCAGTGTCCGTCTGTGTTTTCCTTTGTGTGCCTTTTACATTATCAAGTCCACACACCCTTTTTAAAGCTCCAGAAGTCAATAAAACACAAGAATATTTGAACAGATGTATTTATTCCTAGCTGTTAACACACATTTGTCAGTGTGAAAGGTGGAAGAACTACAGTGGCAGTTCAAAGGATGAGGTTGCCTTGTATCTACATGGTGTGATACGGTGTGTGTTAACACCTGATTCATATTTTTCGGCTTTGAGCTTCACTGTCGTCCCATATATATCAAAACGTCGTCAATAAGCCAAACGTTTTTTCATTACAATGATGTCTTTTATTTTGATTTAATCTCAAATAAGACATCCTGCCATAAATGCTCTCGAACCAAATGTGCATTTATCCGTGGTTGAAAGTAGTCCCGTAATGTTTTACTATTAGCTCCACAGTGCCATCTGTTACATGAATGTACTGAGCTTTAAAACAAATCTATTTCTGAAAGGTTATACTGTTATTGGATGAAAAATAATCAACACACAATGAAAGTAATAAAGTTAACAGATAGCATAATGTTTGCCATGTTTGTGGTTATGATTTTTCCTACCATGACCCGATTTGATTGCTGTTTCCTTAAAGGTCACCTATTATACTGGTTTTCATCAATATATCACAGGTCTCAGATATATACAGAACATGTCTCTGATTGGCTGAAACACCAAACTGATCATTGCAGCATCCCATAATCCCCTCTGTTTCAGCCCTGTTGCAAAAGTGCTGATTCTCTGTCTGTTACTTTAGATGAAAATAAGGAGCCCCTCCCCACGCCCCTCTGAGAGACATTTGGTTACAAAGAACTCAATGGTGCTCTAGGAGGAGATTCAGGTGATAAGGTGGGGGGGGGGGGGGGGGGTTACCTTGGTTGCTGATTGGCTAATGGTTACACAAGCCAACACATCGTTATGACATCATAAAGTGGCCAAAATCTGATCAGCTCATTTTCAGACAGGTTTTTATAGAAATGGATCAGGACAAAAAGAGAGAGAATCTTTGTTCCTGAAACTTTCAGAGTCTCTGAGGGGACACATGGTGATGTAGAAGAGACATGAAGAAGAGGGGACACATGTTGATGTAGAAGAGACATGAAGAAGAGGGGACACATGTTGATGTAGAAGAGACATGAAGAAGAGGGGACACATGTTGATGTAGAAGAGACATGAAGAAGAGGGGACACATGTTGATGTAGAAGAGACATGAAGAAGAGGGGACACATGTTGATGTAGAAGAGACATGAAGAAGAGGGGACACATGTTGATATAGAAGAGACATGAAGAAGAGGGGACACATGTTGATGTAGAAGAGACATGGAGAAGAGGGGACACATGTTGATGAAGAAGAGACATGAAGAAGAGGGGACACATGTTGATGTAGAAGAGACATGAAGAAGAGGGGACACATGTTGATGTAGAAGAGACAGGAAGAAGAGGGGACACATGTTGATGTAGAAGAGACATGAAGAAGAGGGGACACATGTTGATGTAGAAGAGACATGAAGAAGAGGGGACACATGGTGATGTAGAAGAGACATGAAGAAGAGGGGACACATGTTGATGTAGAAGAGACATGGAGAAGAGGGGACACATGCTGATGTAGAAGAGACATGAAGAAGAGGGGACACATGTTGATGTAGAAGAGACATGAAGAAGAGGGGACACATGTTGATGTAGAAGAGACATGGAGAAGAGGGGACACATGTTGATGTAGAAGAGACATGAAGAAGAGGGGACACATGTTGATGTAGAAGAGACATGAAGAAGAGGGGACACATGTTGATGTAGAAGAGACATGGAGAAGAGGGGACACATGTTGATGTAGAAGAGACATGGAGAAGAGGGGACACATGTTGATGTAGAAGAGACATGAAGAAGAGACATGAAGAAGAGGGGACACATGTTGATGTAGAAGAGACATGCAGAAGAGGGGACACATGTTGATGTAGAAGAGACATGAAGAAGAGGGGACACATGTTGATGTAGAAGAGACATGAAGAAGAGGGGACACATGTTGATGTAAAAGAGACATGAAGAAGAGGGGACACATGTTGATGTAGAAGAGACATGAAGAAGAGGGGACACATGTTGATGTAGAAGAGACATGAAGAAGTGGATTTTGCATAATAGGTGACCTTTAATGTGTTCCTGCAGGGGCATCAGCAGCAGCAAGGTGACGGTGCTGGGTTACGGCCTCCTTACTACAGATGCTCGCCCCCTGGTGGAGGCTCTGATCCGGCAGAAGTTCGCCGTGGTCGTGGTGGACGAGTCACATTACCTCAAGTCCAGGAATGCAGCGCGAACAAAGATCCTGGCGCCTCTCATCCAGAACACCAAGCGGGCCATCCTGCTCACTGGGACTCCTGCTCTGGGTCGGCCTGAGGAGGTAAGACCATCTGATTAAAGGACAATTGACAGGTGTCTCATGGGAAATGCCTGTTATGCAGATGTGGGAAGTAGTGGAGTACAAATACTTCATTACTGTACTTAAGTAGATGTTTCTGGTATCAGTACTTTACTCCACGACTTTTACTTCTTACATGTTGAACACAAATACCTGTACTTTCTACTTCTTACATTTTGAACACAAATACCTGTACTTTCTACTTCTTACATGTTGAACACAAATACCTGTACTTTCTACTTCTTACATATTGAACACAAATACCTGTAATTTCTACTTCTTACATTTTGAACACAAATACCTGTACTTTCTACTTCTTACATGTTGAACACAAATACCTGTACTTTCTACTTCTTACATGTTGAACCCAAATACCTGTACTTTCTACTTCTTACATATTGAACACAAATACCTGTACTTTCTACTTCTTACATTTTGAACACAAATACCTGTACTTTCTACTTCTTACATATTGAACACAAATACCTGTAATTTCTACTTCTTACATTTTGAACACAAATACCTGTACTTTCTACTTCTTACATATTGAACACAAATACCTGTACTTTCTACTTCTTACATGTTGAACCCAAATACCTGTACTTTCTACTTCTTACATATTGAACACAAATACCTGTACTTTCTACTTCTTACATGTTGAACTCAAATACCTGTACTTTCTACTTCTTACATGTTGAACACAAATACCTGTACTTTCTACTTCTTACATGTTGAACACAAATACCTGTACTTTCTACTTCTTACATGTTGAACCCAAATACCTGTACTTTCTACTTCTTACATTTTGAACACAAATACCTGTACTTTCTACTTCTTACATGTTGAACCCAAATACCTGTACTTTCTACTTCTTACATGTTGAACACAAATACCTGTACTTTCTACTTCTCACATTTTCCAAACAGGCTGGTTCCTTTAGTTTGAATGTGTGTTTGGTGGCGTGATCATTATTATTTAGAGTCATTGCGTGCCTATTGATTTGAACACGATCCGTGTATCCATCATTTCCTGGTCTTCTCTAAAGAAGAGGGACCAATGAAAACGTTGTCATGTTGCCGTTGTTCAGCATGGAAACATTCATTAGCTAACAATGACATTATTGTTCTATTAATATAAAGGGAGGTCAGGTACTCTTTAAAACAGCTGCTAGTTATGGGTACTTTTTACTGAAGTACATTTCAAAGTTCTTTACTTTTACTTGAGTAAAGAAGTTTAGTCAGTACTTCTACTTTTACACGAGTATCTGTACTTCTACTTGATTAAAGGATGTGTGTACTTTTGCCCTCTGCTGTTATGATGAATAATACATATTTAGAAGCTGCTTTCCTTCCCTACAACATGAACTTAGCTTTGAATTTCTGGACAGGAAGGAGCAATTCGGACAAATATATATAAGAAACCACATGCAGCAAATTAGAAGAATACATACTTCAAAAGGTGGTTCTGAGCCCACGCTGGTGAAGAAACCTTATCAAGCTTCTCACGAAGGTGTTTTACATCACCGCACAGGTAGATCGCCATGGTAACTTGCATCATTGCAGGTTACACTCTGATCCAACATATAAAAAAGCCAATTAACTCTCCCCGGCATCACTTATCCTCCAGGATCCCGTGGACTTATTTCAATAACCTTTGTTGCAAAAACTTGATTTACAAAACCCGGCATGAACAGACACTGCACTGCAATAAATGAGACAAGTAATAAAAAGAGGCGCGCAGGGGAGGGGTGACTATTGAATTTAGAGACAATAAGAAGGGCTGTTCACAGGACAACAGTGTTTGGAGAGCGCCGGAGCCAATCCCCTCTCCATAATGATTTATTATATCATTTTTATATATGATACATCCAAGCAGTAGATTGTAGCCGTATTCCATCACTGCAGAAGATGAAGTGGACTCTGGGAATAGAAAATCTTTTCACAGAAACAATGCAGTATCAATAAGATGCTGCATGTCCACTGTACTGTAATGATAAGGCACTGACACAGCTCTGGCTTTCACACCTACTTTCTCACAGGAGTTGCAATACATTTGACTTGTAATGGTCATAAGATCATTAGAGTGGCTGTAGTTAATGATACCATAACATATTTTCTCCTAATTGATTTTCATATTAACAACATATATTGTTTATTTGCCTCTCTGGTCGGCAGTAATGCAGTGTATAAATATAGGGCTTTTATTGTGAAAGGTTAACACACTTTTAAAGGCTAATAGGGTACCAATCTTAATACTGATGCTGTCAATATTCAAAAGCAATTACATTCTGCATTCAACATTTACTAATGAGAAATATAGCAAAATGTTAAGTATTGCCACTTTAAATAATCTTAGATCACAATCTGGTACAGATAAGGTTAAGATCTGTACAATATAGTCTGGTTTAAAACCGTGAAGAGCCTTAAAAAATAATAGTTACATTGGATTGGGAGCCAACGTAATGCTAAATGTGGTTTGATTTGGTGACATTACTACAGATTCTTTCTTTATGTAAAGGCACTTTTTAATTATAATCTGATAACCAACTACTTTACCAGTTTGACATCATAGGTTTTGTTTTGACTACATTTAAGTATCTCTGTGAGACAAGACTCAGAAACCCTCTGTCATCTAACTGCCACATTGCTGCGAGGAAAACTTAATTATTGCCTCGGCTCGATCATGATAATTACCTGATGAGATTCAGGCAGCTAATTAATTCCAAAATAGAAACGAAAGATTGTACTTGTAAGAAATCTCGAGAAGGTGTTTCATGGAGACAGTGCGTCTGCGTGTGTGTGTGTGCGTCTGCGTGTGTGTGTGTGTTATATACTGCGCATATGTGTGTGTGACACATGCCATCCTGTCTTTGCCATAGCCTGCCCGCAGTGTGGAGGTTAGTTTTTTTAGATATCATCTCTCTCTCTTTGCTGCCACTAGAATCTGAAACTGAATATAACATTTTATCATCCGCAGCATAAACCTGATAAGCCCTGTCCCTGCCTGTGTGCCACTCTCCTCGCTGCCATCATTACTCACTGTGGCTCTGACATAGAGTTAGCACACAGCTCAGGGCATGCTGCACCGCGCGCTCATGATGTGCCCTCATTTCCACCCACCTATTATATCAACAGTGTGAGGGGGGAAATGCAAAAATCCTGTTGAACAAGCGCTGAATTTGGAATAGTGCCCTCACTGTGGCAGCTTATTCAGATCACCTGGCTGATGATTACCTGTCATTACTTTATAAATTGCTGCAAATACTGAAAATTGACAGTACACACAGACAGTGCTTTTGTGCATCCTGTTATGCATGCACACACTCTCTACCCACTGTATGAAAAAAGACTCTTCAAAATGCCATACGTCCACTTGAGACAGCATCTTGTCATTCTTTATGATGCAAAGATGTTTAGATGACTCCATGTCAGCAGTGATATAGCAGGAGGAGGTGAATTTTTATTTATCCATTTTTAATTTAATTTTCAAATCAGTTTAATTTCCTGGCTGCACAGCTGTTTGACCTGGTTAATTGGCACTGACACAGTTGCACATTACACAGGACTGTTAAACTAGGCTAAGGACAAGGGTATGGCGGTATTATTTGCCTCTATCCTGAAACATCTTGAGCACACAATGAAACATTTTGTGCATAGAAAATTGTATTGAGCTCGCAATGGAACATTTTTGAGCAAAGAAAAAATACATTTTGCAAGCACATCAATTATATTTTGAAGAGAAATTGACTTGACTTGAAGATTCCTTGCGTGCTCAATATTTTTTTCTGTGCTCAAAATGTTTCATTGCGTGCTCAAGATAGAGGCACAATAATAACCCCATACAAGTGGACCTTGAATAAATTGCACACAAGATGCACATCAGTAGAATAATCTTGAGCACAGGTAAGGTCTGTGTATTCAGCCAAAGAAAGCTATTCTGAGTTAATGCATGCAACTTTCAGAAACTAAAAGGTGAGAAGTTTACATTAATGACTTGCTCAATCTGTCAGGTTGGTGCAGGAGAACTTTACTAAAGATATAAAAAGCTTCTTTCAAGTACGAGTTTTTAGAAGTAGTTGTTACAGTATTCTGCTTTGCTGCAGTCGGTTAGCTTAGCTTAGCTTAGCACAACGACTGGAAACAGGGACCAGCTTGCCTAGCTGCCTCTGTCCAAACTCCAAAGGTAAGAAAATATGTCTAATAAAATATAAATAATAATAATTCAACTGTGGCGTTGTCAGTAACAAGCATTGCATTTAATTTCCTTTTCTAAATGTTAGCATGAAGCAAGCTCATGGCTGTTACAGTACATGAATGATAGCTACAGCATAACACATGTCTCCTGGTCAAGTTAAGTGTGTTTACCATTGTTTAACATTTTATAATTTAATCATTGAGATAATTATCTGTGACATACAGTAAGAGGTAGTTTAACATTAGCACAAGTAAATAAGTGTCATAGAGCAAAGCTAACTTATATGCAATATTAAGCTATGTTTTGCTAGCATTAGCTACCACAGTCTATGGGACAGTTCCATGGTAAATAAATGCTAAACCAAATAGTAACGGAGTAATGAAGTTAGTTTACTAATGTCAGTTAAACATTTTCATAAAATAAGCTAACGTATGCAACCATAAGCTACTGGCCATAACATACTTATTAAGAGTGGTGCAACAAAACCCAATGAGTACTGAATTTAGCAATGGCGGGGTCTCATTTGAAGCCTTAAAAACCTGCTTACTTAAGTGTGTTAAGATATCAACCTTTTATTGGAAGAATGCTGTCTTTATAAAGTTATACAGTGTCATGTGAGGTGTGCATGTCATATGTTTATCAATTTGTTAAAAACGAAAGGAAGTAAATAGCATTATGAGAAATATATATAATAAAAACGAGACTGCAATATTATTATATATTATTTTAAGTGTGCCTGGTGTGTAATATTATAGTATTTATTGCACACATTCTCCGGTTTATCCTGACTGTATCTCTCACTCCTTTTCAGACCAGGTTACACACACACACACACACACACACACACACACACACACACACACACACACACTCACACTCACACTCACACTCACACACACGTGTGCTTTGGTACAGAGGAGCTGTCATATAATATAATAGTAATTTTCCTGTCCCTGTATTTCACAGCTTTTTATGCAGATTGATACCCTCTACCCAAAGAGGTTTGGAACATGGACAGACTTTGCCAAGAAATTCTGCAACGGCCATTTCAGGTGACACACACACACACACACACACACACACACACACACACACGCGCACAGAGCATAGCATAATGACAGCAAGAAAAGGCTATCTCTCTGCCAAAAGTGTATTAAAAAAACACAACCAACATTGCGTAAGCTCATTAATTAAGTGTAAAATGTACAAGTAGTTGTAATACAGGTGGAGCTGAGCAGATAACTCTCACAGAGAAAGTGAGCATATTTCCTAAAACGGCAAATAATCCTCTTAAGTGTAAAACCTTATTTTGGTCTGTTCTTATTTATATACTCTTAATTCTTAGTTAAGTGGAATTAGCAGAGTTTCAATAGATCTCTCCCACGCTTTTCAAGTGTCTGCTGGGATAAGGTGGGCTGTACCTGAGTCTGGAGCGATGGAGCTGCTGAGTTGAGGGTTTTGTTGTCAGAGCCAGATCACAACTGAATCCAAGCGTTAAATGCCAAATGGCTGCCAGTTGCCAGCGATGATCAGTTACATGTGTGAACAAACACATCAAATGCATTGTTTTGGCTGTCCATCAAAGTGGGCAGCTCGATCGGGGATGGGCCCGCCGCCATTAATGATAACACTTTGTATATAATTGCACTTATTGTGGCTGGGGAATGCCATTCTGAGCCACACACAAACGTTTCAACGCACAGTAGGGCACAAGGCATTGTCATATCAGCAAAGTCTTCCTATTCCCTTCATAATAGAGAACTGTCAGTGGGAAATGAGAGAAGAGCAGCCTTACAGCTTGGAAGTTGCTGGTTTAAATCCTAATAGAGAGCACAAGCACAATTTAAGAAGGAGTTAATCAGTTCCCCTCCCTCAGCAACTACAAGTTTAAATACCGAAGTGTGAAGAAGCTCATTTTGGCAGTGGCTTGTTAAGTTGGTGCACACTTCCAGCCAATATGGCAGAAAACCAGCCTTTGTGTGGAGGGCCAGTTCTATTCTAAAAATCAGTTTGGCAGATAAATTGCGAAAGTTGCCGGGGAGTTTTGGGATAAAACCTGCTGCTGTGGCCATTAGACAAAATACTTTCCTGCTTTGCAAACTGCCCTAAAGCTAAAAAGTGATCCCCCGACTAGTCAGCTGCAAATGATGGGAGTCTGCTGTGGTGCCGGGCGGCTCCCAGGTGGCAATGTGTTTAAATGTGTTCAACTATTTCTTCTGGGCATAGCCGTAAATAAGCATGTTTGCTTCTCTCTGTGTGTGTTGGGAAAATACTGAATGTCCTCTTCCAATATGAGAGTACACATGATAACAAAAGTATCCCAACTGTAGCTGTGTACATGACAGGATGTATGATTACCTAGAAGAGCATCAGGACTGTTTTAGACATATGATAGCTATGTGATTAACATGATGATTCAGCCTCTATGGAGATAGACATATGACAAGCATGCTCATTTCTGACGTGGAGCTAATCTGAAGTAAACATTGAATACTGCTTTCTATTCCTCCATCTTGTGACTGTGTAACTCCCTCTCTTGGATATCAGCATGTGAAGGACACTGTTCAGGAACTAGTTGATGCTCTGTGTGTGACTTCCATTCTGGAGAGGATCACAAATACATGGATCCTGAGATTGAAGCTCAAGCCGGGGACGAGTGATATTTTTCTAACAGTGTAAAAAATAAATGCATCAGCACCTTCAGCTTCTCCTCGCTTTCTCTCAGGTATTTCGGGACTCGTCGGCAGTGGGACGCTCGCGGATCGTCCAACCTTTCGGAGCTTCACCAGCGCCTGAGTGAAATCATGATCCGTCGTCTAAAGGCCGAAGTTCTCACTCAGCTGCCCCCCAAAATCCGCCAGCGAATCCCCTTCGATCTGCCTAAGGACGCTGCAAAGGTCAGGCATAAATGACAGCATGTGGTCTTTAGTCAGACATTCAATTCACGGTGCTTTTAATACACTACTGATGCATGTTTCCTCATTTTCCACGGCTGCAGCTAACAATCGCTTTACAGTCTAATCATCAATTGATAAATAATTGTGTGTGTTGAATGTCAGATAATAATAAGATGCCCATCGTAATTTCCCAGAGCCCAAGGTGGCATTATCAAATGTCTGAGCTGAAATGGTTAATTAACAAAATAGGTCCCAAATCATTTCCTGTTGATTGACTAAAAGATGAATTGCTTCAGTTCCTAAATTGTTATTACATGCCCAGCACAAATCCAAAAGCATTATTTTTAAAACATCGCGATTAATGGACATGCCACAGATTCACGCTGTTAGGCAAAATTAAATTCTGCCATCTCCAGGTTTGTATATTTCTCACCACACAGGGAGTGATTGAAGATGAAGTTGAGATGATTTAGTCTCCTGCTCATCACGTTTGAAATGCACGTTTAGCTAAACCCAAGGAGAAAGAAATGACATAAACTAACTAAAATAAGTGGGGACACATTTAACGAAAAATTGTAGGTCCTGTTGGCGGAATAATACAAATTGATATATGGGTAACCTTGGTGCTAAGCTACAGATTTCAGATACAATATCAATATCAAATTAAAGTAAAGAACATCCTAGTGTAGAAATACAATCAGAATAATGTATTATTGTGTTAATATATGTATATTTTAGGATTATAATTACTGATGCATTCATTTGTTAAGCACTAATGTCGCAGCTAGCTCATATTGTATGACTTCATACTAAGGGTAGCTTGTCAATTCTCAATTAAAATGTGAGCTTAACTTAAGGAAATACATCCAAACACATATATATCCGTTAATTCAATTACCTGCAGAGTAATTAGTAACTATAGTTATCAAATACATGTCATATAATGCTCCAAGAAGTGCAGAAGTAAGTAGTATGAACTGAAAACACGAAAGTACAGTACCTTAAAATGAATTGTACTTGAGTAAATGTACTTTTTCACTTCCGATAACTGTTATGATGATTTGCCAATTTACTAGGTTTGAGGTTTTTTCTACATTTTCTGATTTAATTGGCGTATTTCAGCATGGCAGCTTATACATTTCTGCTGTTGGGGATAATTCTCCAGCAGCTACAGGCCTCAGGGACGTGATGCCAGTTTCCATCAGGAGATCCGTCATAACAGCTGACGGTGTAACATACTGTATAATAATTTCTCGTCCATTTCCATGACTGTCACCTCCCCCTCTGACTGCTTCCCATTTAAGTCATGGACCACTTTGCTTTTTTGCGCACACAGCTTCATGTCAACGCATTTCCTCTTCATTTCTGTTACCGTTTTTGCTGCTTAGGTAAAAAAAAGTTATGTATTTCACTTTGGATTTTCAACATAACCAGCATTTATGACATCATTCCTTCGAGGTAATTTAGTCGGATCACATCGGAGTAGTTACGGGAAAAACTCGCTGTATTTTAATTCCAAAGTTGTGGAAAATACCTACTCAAGGTTCAAGGCTTTTATTGTCATTTGTACATAGCTGTGTAGTTATGACAATTAATAGAATAGAATATAATAGAAATGGTGCAGAATAGTCTATATACAAGTAATTTGAATATTGATATATACAGGGCCGTCCCTCCCTACAGGCCGATCATGCAGACTGCGTGGGGCCTCATCTTGCGGAGGGTTCCTCAACTGAGCCTAAAATGCGGCGCACCTATGCACTTACACGGCGCAATTAGTGTGGCACGGCACGGTTTCGCCGCTGCTCCACTAGCACCCCCGTCGACGCTCGCGAAACAGAGGGCCTCATCATACAACTTTGCGTGGGGCCTCATGTTGGCCAGGGACGACCCTGGATATATATACTGGTTCTTCCCTTAAGCCTATGCAGAGATACATGCCTGTGTGTGTGTGGTTTCTCTCCATCATAAAGAGGATGCCAGGCTATTTGTAGAGTAAATGTCATGTTTCCTGTGTAGGTGCCCGAAGTTGCGGTTTCCGCCTCCCACGCCACACTGAATGCATGTGCGCACGTGAATGCTAATGTGGCTTCGACTCGGCCTTTCGGTGCGCCGGGTCACCGGAGTCAGAGCTACGAGTGGTTTGCTTTCCCGCTGGGAGCGAAGCATCACAGAGAACAATACACATCCAGAAGCACTTTGTTATATTTCGCTCTGTATCATAGCTCTTTTCGGCGCTAATTACGCCAGCTTTTCAGCGGTGACACAACAATGAGGAAGTTTGCACGGAAAGTGATGATGCAGGGTGTTTTCACAAACAAAATCCTCAACTTTTAAAGGACGCTTTAATTAGAGGCTAACTATAGTCACTGTTTCTACATCAAACTCGCGTGTTGAACAGTTGGAAAAGTTCATGTCATGTCTTGTTTTGCTAGTTGGTTAAAACTGCAGCTGTGAGATAAATGAGCACATCTCGAACGACCGGCTATAGCTGTTCGGCCTCGTTTCTGTTCACGAGATGAATGTGCATGACCAGGTATTTGTCCAGTGAGAAGAATAGACCCTCAGTTTCACCCTCCCATCTAAATGCACTGGTTAAAGGGAGATGTGAAGTGGCCAGTCACCCAAATCCGCAGCCATTGTGCTTCCCACATTCACGGAAATATGAACAATATAAAACATAAAAGCCTAGGTGGACATTATTTCCCTCTAAACAAACTCTCTTTTAAAGCACATTTTTGCTAACTGACGGTATACAGTGTGCACCAGGACCACTCACCAGTTCAGCCGTCTCATTTTACTCCCTAATGATGGCTTTTATCTTCCACTGCAGACACTTTTTATGCCGCTCCTGCCCTTTACGTTTTCAGCCCTGGCCTTTTGTCAGTGTTAGTCTAGCGAATATCATCAAGGGCGGGAGTGTTTAGCCACTCAGGGTTTTGTTTTTCCCCCCCAGAAGATTATAAAGCTTGAATGTAACATTTTTAATTAGCAATATACATTGAGAGACAGCCTGAGTTGTGTTTACGCAGGTGAGTGAGACATCTGAGGGAAAACATAAAAGGAAACAAAGCTCTGTGCTTCTTGCAATATGATACTATTTATTCACTCAACCGTCCTTGACTTTGACAACGTTTGAATCCACAGAAATGCTAATTATCTCACTAAATAGTGTAACGCTTTCATGTTTCACCAGAAAGCTTTCCATTGTGCAAGTCGGGAGCGCACAGTGTTGAAAATACCGTTGTGAAATCCTCTGTCTTTACATATGTGCGTGTGCTCGCATTAATAAGGCTTCTCTCCAATTCTCACTCTTTTCCCTCCCCCTCTGCTCACTCATCAGTGTGTGTGTGTGTGTGTGTGTGTGTGTGTGTGTGCTTAATCACGCGCAGGCCACCTCTTCCTTCAGCTCGCCATATGGTTCACAGTTTTGCATCGTTTGATATGCAGCGCGCAAAGAAAGTGTTCATTCCTGTTGAATTTGTACATATTTCCTGGTGGTGCAGCCTGGATTTAGACAAAAGGCACACAATGAAAAAGTTTGCCTTAAAAAAAATATGATGTAATCCTGAAAAAGTCAAGGGGGTTCTTGTGGAGCACTCTAGATAGATTATAGGCACCCAAGCTTTTGCATGACTATTGAATCAAACCCAAGCTTTGCAATTATCCGAAACAGTACGCTGCTTTTCTTGTCACATTTCTGCATAATGTGCATACTGAATATTGATCAAATGTTACTGAAGATAATATGTTTGTATGATAAACAGGGCTAACGGATGCACAGCCTTTCTGCGTGTCTTCTTTACGAGCAGGAGGAAACAGTATGCTGCTTTTCTTATCACATTTCTGCATCACGTGCATACTGAATGTTCCCAAAGGTTGCCACTAACTTTAACATGTCTTAATGATAAATATCAACGAATACACAGCCTCTCTTCACGAACACGAGGAAACATATGCTGCTTTTCACCGCCTCTCCCTCTGCGACCCTCTTGTTTCTCCTCTCCCGCCTTAAATACTTCTCGCCAATCACCTTGAGAGCACGCCAGGCGTCTTTGATTTATTGTACCGGCCAGGCTGCTTCTCCATCTTCGACCCCAGCTTGTCACAAGGCGGCTATAATTGGGCGATGCTCATGACCCACCTAACACAGCAGCCCAGTCTGAGAGGGGGGTGGCATCCTGGGGAATTCTCCATCTCTCTTTTTCTCTCTCTTTCTCTTCCAGGGAAAGTAGGACACCCAGCAGCTCCATTAATTGTTTTGCCCTTTATATCTCAAAAAACAGCCGAGAGAGAGATAAATAAAGGACGCTGACTTGTCTCTCTTTTGCAGGAGGCCTCAGCCAGCTTCGCAGAGTGGGAGCGATTGATGAAGGGACTGGGGTCGGGGGTCATCGGCACGGACAGCAACCCCTTCACACAGGTCATGAGCCTGGTCTCACGGATGTACAAGCAAACTGCGATTGCCAAGGTAATGGGAGAGCAGGTGCTTCTGGAGTCTATCTGACTTTAACCCAGCAGTAAATACACCTTTTATTGGCTTCAAAGATAGTCTATATTTCTCTGAATACTACCTAAGATGCTCTATATGTTAAGATATCACATGAGAAGTGGAACCAATGGTATAAAATGAGATGCACTTCCTCCTAAATATGTGCGTGCTAACATATTACTTTATTACGAAATCAAAAAAGTAGTCACAGTAGTTAGGCCGTTAAAAAACGTCAGGTGTAAGCATGTGTGTATTAATCCGCAACTGAAAATAGTCCCCAACAAAGCAAACATTCCCTCCTGTTCAATTAATGTGTGCTTAAAACTACAGATCCCATTATTTACCATTTGTTTTCCTTAGAGTATAACTATATATTCATGCTAAAGATCTTAAAGGTAGGGTAGGTAATTTAGGAGAAACCAGCTCGAGTGCGCTAGAATTTGAAAATACACAGCCGGAAAAAATCTGCCACTTCCTTACAGAGCCCCTCCTCCAACACACACGAACGCGCACATGACCAATGAGGGCACGAGATAAGTTTGTGCACAGATGGAAGGCTGACAGGCAGGTAGGCCATCCAGTTATTTTAGCCGGGCCGGCTCAGATGATTGGTCGTGCTTTTTACAGTACCACGGCTTCCACAGATGATATCCATATCAACAGTGAGAAAACAGATGCATTCACATCATTACACCAATATCTGCATACTTTTTTATTGATGGAAACATGCTCTATGAGCCAACAGTTACAACATCAAACTACACACAATACCCAGAACAGTTTAAAAAGCATAACAAATGAGAAGAAAATGCACTTTTTATTCATATTTTAATGTTTCTGTAAATGGTGAGTTGACGGAACAGCATCATTTTCACAGCCGCTTGAGCCGACCGCTCAGTGAAACCTCAATTGGGGGAAGCATCGCCATGGTAACAGAGCCTAATGGTCGCCCAGTGAAAAGCACTTAGACAAAGTAGGGAGTTATAACCGAGGTATTATTTAGTTGCGTCCAGCTCGGCGTGATTACACCTTATCTCAAAGTTCCACACCGCAACTAAAATAGCATTTCTGTGATGCTGTTGCTGTGGAAACTCAGTCGGTTCTCAGGTTGAAGTGACGTCTTTTTTCTGTTTTAATGAGAGAATGGGAAGGTGGTTTGATGCAAACACAGTGTGAGGGATGGTTGGGGGTCAGAGGTGTGGAGAATGTAACATTTACATTTCCTGTTTCTCAGTGGGAAGTCCTCATCAGTCTCCAGATTTCACTCTAAATCTTGATGTTCTGAAACCTGGCAGTTCCTCAATCTCTTATGTTTGTAGTTGAGTACACATTTCCCCCAAATATAGTATCCCTCACCAATCATCTGTTTTGCTCAAGAGCTGGCGTTCCTCTCAATTAGCCCGACGCCCTGAGCCATGAGGAGCGAGCCCCGAGGTTAACGAAGACCGGAGATAACCACCGAATGCAATCATCGACACGCTGCTCGCTCAGCCTGCCTCCAAGCCTGGATCTTCCCTGCGCTCCGCGTTGTTTGCTGATTGGATTTCTGCTCAGTTTAGCCTAACACTGGACCTCCTTTCATTACAAAGCCCCCCCCACGCCCACTCAACCCACCTCAAAGCCGATACCCGGTCTCATTTCCTCTCCTATTGGTTTTAGCCAGACACACTTTCTACTTCAAGATAAAAAAAAAACGTTCTTTTTTTGGATCACCAGGAGGGTTGCAATGGTGTGACACATCTATGTCACTCTGACGAGCATCACGGCCTCTTCGTGCTTTGCCAGTCCGCCTGGCGACGGACCTGCCAAACGCCTTTGGGGTATTTGTATTGCTTTACCTGCCAAGCATCTGCTCCCAATTACCCAGAGAGGACAGCTCTGATGCTGGACTTTAAAGCGAGCTAACGGGCCGCTTCAGACAGCCGAGAAGTTTGTGCACTAATTAAACTCAGCGGATGGAAGCCTGCGAAGCCAAGCCGTCAGTAATGAGGACCCCCCAGATCAGAAAAGGGTCGGCAGGCCTGGCGGAAAGATTCATTATCAGGCGCATGGGCTAATTATCAGCGAGGCAAAGCAGAGGTTCTCCCGCCAGAGCAGGTGTGATGGCAAAGAGGTGTTGCAGATTACAGGAGATAGGCCTGTCTCCAAAAAAGACGTCCAGTAAAAGGGCTCTGTTTGACTCAAATCAAAACTCACTAGTTGGTGCTATTCTTGGCTGCTTTATGGCCCGGGGCTCTGAAATGAGTACTGGGATGCTCAATGACATGCTCATGCGGACAGATACAGAAACCTGCAAGGCACGGTTAACTCAGTCACACTTCTGCTGCTTTCTCTTTCAGATTGTCAGCTTCACACTGTCAATCAGGGTCACAGACTTCTGCAGCAACAACACGCAAGATCCTGTTACATTTTGGACTGTGACGTTTTTTTCACCATTTGACTTCATTAATAAAACAATATTTAAGTGGAGAAATAACAAATAACTCTAGAGTGAAATGCTTGAGACCTGAACTTTTAGTTATGTTGGACTGCACTCAACACTTTGACACCCTAACAAGCCTTACTTATATATTTTTAGGGGCATTTGCAAGTCCTGACAAAATCTGCTCTTTTTTTAGCTGTCCTTGAGCGGTTGTTAAAATTTCTGATAGTTTGACATTTTGGTGGAAATAGCTCATACACTTTTTTCGCAGAAAGTTAGATGAGAAGATAAATGCTACTCATATCTGTCTGCAGAAAATTAAGCTACAGTACAGCCAGAAGCTAGTTAGCTTAGCTTAGCATAGAGGCTGGAAACAAAGGGAAACGGCTAGCCTGACAAAATCCAACGACAACCTATTCGACTACAATATTGGTCTCAATCCTTTTGTCTAACGAATGCAAATATACACATCATGTTTTTGTTAATGTTAGTTAAATAAAACAATATTAAGCTTTTGAACCTTTATTACAAATTGTCGTCAAAGAGCGTTGAAAATCCGGTCAAACAGAAACGAAACAAGCTCTACTTTCATGAACTTGTTGGTACATTCTGATTCATCTGGTTGTTTTCTTGTATCTGGTTTGTCCAAAAAGCTGAAAACAAAGAGCTCACACTAATCATATCTCCGAGTTGCGAGGTTATTGATTTGCTCTCACTATCTGCGAGTTGACAAATGCGCCCCGGTCGCTCTGTGTTCTCTCTCCGTCTAAAGTCTGGATCCCTGGCATTCAATAGAGAATCGATCACACGGAAAGGATGCCGCGGTGATTAATTGACTTCTTCACTGATCCAGCCGATTCCTCTGTGTGTGGTGGAGCAGTGGAGTGATGGATTCAGTGTCGCTCCCTTTCATCTGTGTCTATTTCTGTGTGTGTCCAGGCGGGAGCTGTGAAGGACTACATTAAGATGATGCTGGAGGCGGAGCAGCTGAAGTTCCTGGTGTTCGCCCACCACCTCACCATGCTGCAGGCGTGCACCGAGGCCGCCATCGAAGCCAAGGTAACCTCAAATTGAAAAATAATTGAAATTGTGAATCAGTTAGGGAAGAGTACACGGTTTCAAATGTTCCATGTACGTTAAAAATGGTTGCCATGTCCTATACAATGTACAAGTGGAGCCGACCCAAAGTACACTTTATTTTCTCCATGTGTAGAAACTTCATAAGCTCGGTCACCCTCTGGACACGAGTGGGAGACGTCAGGCGTCTTCTGAAAAGTGTTGAAGCAAAAAACACACGGCGACAAAGTTTCTGGGGATCATTTGAGATGTAAAACGGACTACTGGCTCAATTATTAACAATCAAAATCAGGTTTATTGCCAAGTAGGCCTTTAGAATCCCAAATTCAGGCAGTACGTCTACATGTGATATCTTAATAATGTATTGTAGCATTGTAATCTTGCTAGCTATCCCACGTTTATTACACGTTGATTACAGACCAATTGTCATATTGGACCAATATCAGCAAATTACTCGTTTTTGCAGTACATCAATCTTTCAAGTGGATGAGCTGTGCAAACATACAACAAAAGGGAATCATTTGAGCAATTGAAAGGTGTCAGGGTTACAAATTGTACAAAACAACCATCCACCCTCTTATCTCCATTAGTTTTTTAGTAGCAATTAGACTCAGTTTTACAGGAAGGCAGCTCCAAGAGTTTTTCAGGCGCTGCTGACCTTACACGTTTCAAACTCAGACATTTAATTTTTCTGTTTCATTCCAGGCCGGTTACATCCGTATCGAAGCAATCAAAATCAGGTTCATTGTCAAGTAGGCATTTAAAAGCCTCTTTGAAAACCAAAAAGGAAATTCAGGCAGTACGTCTACCTGTAATATCTTGATCTTTATATCAAAATGTATTGTAGCATTGTAATCCTGCTAGCTATCACACGTTTACAAATGTTTTATCTGTAATGTGATTACAGACTAATTGTCATATTGGACCAATTACTAATTTTTGCAGTACATCAGACTTTCAAGAGGATGAGCTGTGCAGGTTTAAAATAGCTAGCATTGTGCAGAGATGTGGAAATGAAGTAGAAGAAGTGGATCACTAAGATGTGCATTAATAATAATCTTTATTTGTATATAGCACCTTTCATACAACAAGTGCAGTCCAAAGTGCTTCACATAGACAACGTAATGTGTCTATGGGACGGGTTAACGTCTATGTTGGTTGTCTGTTTCTCCACCTATCAAAAGATACACTGCAGCCCATAAAAGCCTGTAGTTGTATTCATGTTAGTCACAAATTGCACAAATTGTTTCATATCACACTCACTGCCTTGAAAATCAATGTCCCCAACCCTCTCAGATCTATAAAGAGCCATCACACACACATGATACTTACAATAACACACGACCCGTGTTAGCCCCGTAACGATTTTACACACAACTCCCATTCGGATGCATCAACAGGGACACACTTATTAATAATAGATGTGTTTATATAGATACTGGATGGGAATGTCTCAAGTTGTATGAGTGTATCCATGTTTGTTAGGTGTGGATGGTGCACACAATTAACCCGTTTCCTCCTTATAAACTTAAGAAATCGACTATACCTAAAGTCTAGAGTAGTCTAATAATCTATTTACCAATTAATCACAATGTCTTTCTCTCTCTATATATATATATTTATTAATTAAAAGTAATAAATGGTCTTTTTGTGCCTGGTCTTTTTAGGTATTCTATAACTCTATAACTACAACTAGGGATGCTCCGATCGCCAATTTTGTGGCCGATCGCCGGAATCAGTATCGGCTGATCCGATCGAGTGGGCGGGGCCTATGGGGATCTTCCATTTAAAGTGATGTTTAAAACTCAGTTAATGTACATTATTCAAGTTTACATTAACTTTGGATAATAACACGGGAGAAATTAGCGGAAGCGCTCTCCCTCTCTCCCTCTCTCCCTCTCTCCCTCTCTCCCTCTCTCCCTCCCTCTCCTGACAGCCTGTCAGTGTCGTCTCGTGCAGCTCACTGATCAAGTAATGAGTGACCCGACTGTGAAGAATAAACATATTTATAACTAGTTTAGCTTGTTCCAGAGGTAGATAAAATAGCTAAGTGTGTTAGGTCTAACTTGAAGTGTGTGTCACCGGTCAGTCACCACGGGCGGAGCTACAGGTGATTCTGTTGTGTAGCATTATATATTTATTTACTATTTAGAGCAATAAAAGTAACTATTCTGAACAGCATTGCAGAAATATAATGAATTATGAAGCCATTTTGGCGAGCTTGTTTTGCCGCGCACAGAGAAACGTTTCTTTAACTAGTTGGGGAGTAGATATAATGTACTGTATAAGTGTGTAAGGTCTAACTCTTAGTGTGTGTGTTGCTCCGCTCACCGGTCCGTCACAGCGGGTGGAGCTGCAGGATTTCTGCCTCACACACGTTGCATACCGCTATTTTACTGTCTTTTTCGGACACCTTAAAATACTGCCAGACCGGTGAAGCCATTTTGGCGAGCTTGTTTTGCCGCGCACAGAGAAAAGTGTCATGTATTTTACGTCATGTGATCGGCTCTCCTGATCGGCATTTATCGAACAGTTACAGTAGTCTAATAATCTATTTACTAATGAATCACAATCTCTTTCTCTCTCTCTATATATATATATTTAGTAATTACAAGTATTCAAATCTCTTTACGTGATGTACTCTAATCGAAAGGTATTTTTAAGTATTTCTTACTATAGTTACAACATTTCCGTGCATTTTATGTGCAAGAAAAGCCTAAAAAAACATGCAGTTGTCAGTCATCACCTAACCGTTCACATTCGTCCTCCTTTTATCCATAATTTCAGCTCCCTGAGATGTTAGAACACTGTGTTCTTAAAAAACGTCACCCTGCTTTCCCACAGTCTCAACAAAGAGTTTAAAACAATACTCAATTATATCTTATTCAGCCCTTTTGAAACAAGAGGTAGCCCTGTTTCTATATTGCTGATATTCCACTGTGGCACAAATGTTAATTTCTGTCATTTCCCATTTAGACTTTCAAGTTTTTTCCGCTGCAGAGACCTGAATCGCCCATTAACGGTAACCTGGAAGCATTAAATGTGCAGAATTTATTCATATTTCACTCCTGCTTCCAGAGGTAATTGGCCCCATACTCTTTCATCCACAGTCCCGCTGTGTTTATAAGTCAAATCCTCGCCATATCTGTGATTAACAAAGACAGAGTACTGAGCGTTGAGCTTACTTTAGATGTTAGCAGTGATGAAATATATGTGTGTCTTCCACTTATATGCTAAATCAACAGTGTACAGGTGGAACATTTAGATTTTGGAGCAGAATTTTATAATGAAGCAACTCTTAAACAAGATATGAAAGCGGCCCACTACAAAAATGTGAAATCTTGCCCAGTATATGTGTCTAATATCTAGTCAGAATGTGTCTTTACACCTGATATAAGACATGATAACTTCAGAAGTAACACTGCAGTGAGATATCGGGTCTTTTTTTTAGACAATGCATCATCTCGTTAAAGGTGGGGTAGGTAATTCACTTCAGAAACACTTGTTATATTCCAAGGAATGCTCTTAACATCCCGATAGCAATGAATACATAAAAACATTTAATCTGTGGAAGCCGTAGCGCTGTAAAAAGCACGACCAATCATCTGAGCCGGCCCGGCTAAAATAACTGGATGGCCTACCTGCCTGTCAGCCTTCCATCTCGTGCACAAACTTATCTCGTGCCCTCATTGGTCATGTGCGCGTTCGTGTGTGTTGGAGGAGGGGCTCTGTAAGGAAGTGGCAGATTTTTCCGGCTGTGTATTTTCAAATTCTAGCGATCTGGAGCTGGTTTCTCCAAAATTACCTACCCCACCTTTAAACAAGATATTACCTACCCTACCTTTAAGTCAAAAAATGTTATTTTGATTCGTATCTCAGATGAAACACTAACATCAGAAAACAGAAAACTTTTGAACAACACAACATTACCTGATTCTGGTAAGATATAGTTCAAAATGAGTTCTCCTAGCTAATTACAAGATGGGATTTATGTAAATATCCCATCTTATTTCAAGAACTCTTACCAAGCAAACTTTCACTTGTTCTATTGGCAGATTTTTGTACTTATTTCAGCTTGTTTTCATTATTGTTTAACTTGCATTGCATTTTTTCCAGTGCCCTTTTATGCTTTTTGGGGTTCCACTTTCCTTTAGTGTGTTATATAGGTTTCTGTGCATGTTAACGGTCTGCAAATGCTAAAATCACAAGGTGGAAATGAAAAGAATGTGCATCTCCTTTAATCATCATCTTAAAAGTGTTGATTTTCCTTCGAAATCCTGAACGAAAAAGTCAACTTCCTCAAAGAAAGTAAACTTCACTTCCACAACTAATCCCCCAAAGACGTGTTTCACAAGTCATCACAAGCACACGCTTTCTCTGAGCTTGACGCCAGCAACCTGTGAAACAGTCAATGTGTGTGTGTGTGTGTGTGTGTGGCGCAGGGGTCGCGGAGGTGTCGTCGAATGTAATGCAGCGGTACGACGTGTGATAGCACATTCCTCCGTGAGACGCTCTCTCTCCGGAGCGTTCGCACTCACCAATTAACAGAGATGGGTTAAAAAAAGGAATGACAAGACAACGCGATCACATGATATTATCACTGCTTTTACTCCATTTCTCCCCTGCTGTCGGAGATGTTAGAGGGTTTGTTTGATAAAGTTGTGAATGTTTTAAAGTAGTAAATATACGACAGTGATAGTACAATGTCATTAAGGTCTTGCTCTCTCAATAAGCCTATTTATTTCACCAATTAACAGAGATGGGTTCAAAAAAGGAACGACGAGACAACGCGATCACATGATATTATCACTGCTTTTACTCCATTTCTGTCCTGCTGTCAGAGAGGTTAGAGGGTTTGTTTGATAAAGTTGTGAATGTTTTAAACTAGTAAATATACCACAGTGTTAGTGCCCTGTCTTTACGGTCTTGCTCTCTCAATAAGCCCATTTATTTGACCTTTTATTCGCAAAGTTCTGCTTCATATTCATGCAGTTATTAGACCGTCTCCTGCTGTCGTCCGCTGAGCTGCTCTGCAGGGGCGATGAGCCAAAATCAAAAGAGTGCATTAGCGGCTCAGCGAGTGTCAAGTTCCAGTTCAGGTTTGATGAACACGCAGCCGCTGCTCTCTTTGTTAGGTGTTACAACATATTAGATCAGCTCGTTCACCGCGGCTCATCCGATCGTGTTTTCATTCACACGTCTGTCATTGAAATATCTCCGGTACAGGAGACGGGTTAATGCAACGCTCGCAGCACAAATCTGCTTTTTAGACGCTGACAATGCTGTCGTTCTGTGTTAATTTAACTCAACACAATGTACAAACAACCACACGTGCATTATCTCTTCCACTTATTGAAGGGGCACGCTTCTCTGCTAATACACCTGTGATAAATAACAGACGAAGCTTGGTTAGTGTGGCCTTAAAAAAAGGGTATTATGTTGAAATTTAAAGGGGGAATATGTACATTTTGAAAGGGTTACAAAATGTATAAAACAACATAATACAACCATCCACCCTCTTATCTTGAAACTCATCTAACAAATCCCCAAAAACGTACAAAGAAACAAGTCAGTAACAATTAGTTTTTAGTAGCAATTAGATAAGAGTTTTCAGGCGCTGACCTCAGACGTTTAAACTCATAAATGTTATTTTTCAGGCTGGTTACATCCGTATCGATGGCAGCGTCCCGTCGTCAGAACGAATGCAGCTGGTCAACAAGTTCCAGAGCGACCCGGAGACACGAGTCGCTATCCTCAGCATCCAGGCAGCCGGCCAGGTACACACACACACACACACACACACACACACACACACACACACACGTGCCCTACATAACCACCCTTGAATTGGCTGTATTCTGGTTATCGTCTATTCCTATTTCTATGCGTTGTAGAACAAAATACCACTTTTTTTGTGTGCCAATAATACAAATATACAGATATATCATACTGTTATATCTATTTGGAGCTGTTATAACTTGTTAAAAAAACTATCTGCTATTCAAGAAGTCAAAAATCACACTTGGTTCAGGGACACTCTTTGAAAATGATTACATTTCATGATAATAAATGTCTAAAGAGAGATGGTGCGATGCTTTTTAATTGAATGTAACCTCAGGTCCCTTGAATGAGGAATGAACTAGTGCTGCACCGCTGTAATGCCACAATAAATAGGCTTTTAGTTGCACATTAGTAACGATGATGACTGTTGTTGGTTTATATGAATGATAATTGAATTAAGAAATAAACGCTTTACTCTTAATGATAAACTTGACATTAATTAATCTGGGTTACTGAATGTGACGCATTCCAATCACAGGAAGTAGGTGCTTGACGCTCTCGTACGGCAATTAGCTGCAAATATTCTGTTATTAAAAGTAATTTAAAATACGTGGGCTTGAGCGGTTCATTCAAGGTGGTTGAATGAGGTAAATTGTGTGTGTGTGTGTGTGTGTGTGTGTGTGTGTACAGAGGTGGGAAATAGTGGAGTACAAATACTTCGTTACTGTACTTAAGTACATTTTTCTGGTATCAATACTTTTTCTGACGACTTTTTACTACTTTGACTTCTTACATGTTGAACACAAATACCTGTACTTTCTACTTCTTACATGTTGAACACAAATACCTGTACTTTCTACTTCTTACATGTTGAACACAAATACCTGTACTTTCTACTTCTTACACTTTGAACACAAATACCTGTACTTTCTACTTCTTACATGTTGAACACAAATACCTGTACTTTCTACTTCTTACATGTTGAACCCAAATACCTGTACTTTCTACTTCTTACATGTTGAACACAAATACCTGTACTTTCTACTTCTTACATGTTGAACCCAAATACCTGTACTTTCTACTTCTTACATTTTGAACCCAAATACCTGTACTTTCTACTTCTTACATGTTGAACACAAATACCTGTACTTTCTACTTCTTACATGTTGAACACAAATACCTGTACTTTCTACTTCTTACATGTTGAACACAAATACCTGTACTTTCTACTTCTTACATGTTGAACCCAAATACCTGTACTTTCTACTTCTCACATTTCCCAAACAGGCTGGTTCCTTTAGTTTGAATGTGTGTTTGGTGGCGTGATCATTATTATTTAGAGTCATTGCGTGCCTATTGATTTGAACACGATCCGTGTATCCATCATTTCCTGGTCTTCTCTAAAGAAGAGGGACCAATGAAAACGTTGTCATGTTGCCGTTGTTCAGCATGGAAACATTCATTAGCTAACAATGACATTATTGTTCTATTAATATAAAGGGAGGTCAGGTACTCTTTAAAACAGCTGCTAGTTATGGGTACTTTTTACTGAAGTACATTTCAAAGTTCTTTACTTTCACTTGAGTAAAGAAGTTTAGTCAGTACTTTTTTTTTAAACTAGAGTATCTGTACTTCTACTTGAGTAAAGGATATGTGTACTTTTGCCATCTCTGGTGTGTGTGTGTGTGTGTGTGTGTGTGTGTGTGTGTGTGTGTGTGTGTGTGTGTGTGTGTGTGTGTGTGTGTGTGTGTGTGTGTGTGTGTGTGTGTGTGTGTGTGTGTGTGTGTGTGTGTGTGTGTGTGTGTGTGTGTGTGTGTGTGTGTGTGTGTGTGTGTGTGTGTGTGTGTGTGTGTGTGTGTGTGTGTGTGTGTGTGTGTGTGTGTGTGTGTGTGTGTGTGTGTGTGTGTGTGTGTGTGTGTGTGTGTGTGTGTGTGTGTGTGTGTCGTCCCTCTCCAGGGTTTGACCTTGACCGCTGCCAGCCACGTGGTTTTTGCCGAGCTCTACTGGAACCCCGGACACATAAAGCAGGCGGAGGATCGAGCGCATCGCATCGGGCAGACAGCCTCCGTTAACGTGCACTACCTCATCGCCAAGGGCACCTTCGACACCGTCATGTGGGCCATGCTCAACAGAAAGGTGCCGTGTGCAAAAGGGTGGAGCGAAACACACTTTCTGATCAAAAATCGTTTTATTGCGTTTCGACAATGCACAAGTAATGTTTGTCATTTAGAAGTGGAAAGCTAAATATATGCATACACATTGGCTTCACACTGACTCGGTAACAGTTGGACATGGTCCGTTTGTTTCTATGGCAACATGGAATGCTGAGAGTCAAACGGGCCAGTATTTCCATGACGACCAATCATGTAGCACAACAGTTGTCTCCTTTTTAGTTTTGTAGCTGGTAATTAAACGACAGGATTTTTTTCACAAGAAATTCATTAAAATCCTTAAAAAGTGTAAAAATAACAACAAAAAATGACACAAAAGTGAAGTAGAAGAAGTTGTTTTTCCCTTTTTCTTTTCACAACTTCTAGAAAAGTATATAATTAAACAAATCTGACATACTTAGTATTATATATCCATGTCATGCTGCATATACAGTACATTATATCTACTCCCCAACTAGTTCAATATGACAAAGTACATTCACATTTTTTTGAGCCACATAAGCCTTAATTGGAGAATGACTGTTTTTTATGTTATTTTAGAATACTCTTATACTGAAAAAAGCTATTCTGCATACTGATTACTTTTACTTTTGACACTATTAGTAGATTCTGCTGATAATACTTTATTTCTTGTACTTAAATACATTGAAATGGAGTATTTTAAGACCACTTCTCCTTTTGATTCATCACCACACACTCCACCAATGTCACATTTCATTTGAATGATAGATCACTGGAGTCTCACCAAACATTTAAGAATAATTATAACTAATTATCGCTTTAATTGAGTGTGATCTCGCTGATATATTCTGGCATTGATCAGCTAGTCCATTGACAGTGATGAAGAAAACATATTCAGCTGCTTCTTGAATAACACTTTGACTTATTATCAGTGTCTATTTTCTTAAATATTGAGCTTTCTGCATCAAAAACAGACTTAAAAATGACATTTCCTGTAATATCTTCCATGTGTGTTTGCAACTGCTCGTCACAGATCATGCTATGTGTAAAACAAACGGAAATATGATGGAAATGAGCATTAAATATTCTCCATGTGCTTCAGGAAACGGTGACCGGCAGCGCCTTGAATGGCAAGAAGGAATATCTGAAGGCCGATGAGGGCGATCAGGACAAATGGGAGTTTCTCAACTTCTCCGACGCGTGGAAACCGAGTGAGATGCTGCTGCCGCCGGAGAGAAACAGCGGAGACTACAAAGAGGACGTCTTCTTCACTCATGTGAGTTCATCTGTAGCAAAAGACTGCTTTATTTAACCTTTTTTCAATCTGAGATAATCCAAAAAGGAACATGAAAATTGACTGCTGATAGTCGTTCTGTAAATACAATATTTCTTGCATATTTTCATACATTTCCGCAAAAATGTCTGTATCAGATTAAGATATACTTTATTGATCCCAAATTGGGAAATGTTTTCGATACAGCAGCATGTGAACACGATAGTTTGAGTGAGATATATAATTATAAAACTGAGATTTGCGTCTTGGATCCGTTTGCTGTTTTTAATCCTATATTTTAATTGAAGAAACCCGTTCTCTCTGCTTCTTTTCCCCCCTCAGTTTGAGAAGGAGAAGCAGCACGACATTCGTTCCTTCTTCTCGCCGGGCGGCAATAAGGAGAAGAAGAGGAAGAGGACAGGAGACGAGGAAACATCTCCTTCAGAGACGACCGGCAGGGGAACAAACTCTGAAGAAAGAGAGGAGATTAAAGAAACCGAAACCATCCCAGACGAGGACTTCTCGCCCCAGGTGAAGAGGCTGCGGACCCCACAGCCGAGCCCCAGTCTCAGGCCTCAACGTGGGGGTAAAAGAAGGTCTTCAGCCGGAGGGAAATTACCCAGCAGCCCCAGCTTCTTCTCCATGAACCCACGGAAACTTCTGGAGACCGGACCAACGTCTGAGTGGAGCTGTGTGTCCTGCACATACTCCAATAGTGGCTTGATGCCGTACTGCGAGATGTGCAACGTCAAACGCCCTTCTTCAACTGCTCCGTCAGGTAAGACACAAATAACCTCTTGGATTACAGAATAATAGTTTGTTAGCTTCCAAATCCAAACTAAACGTCCCAAAAGAGGGTCTAAATTGCCTAAAATGACAATATTCTGGTTATTGGTCACCTAGCTACTGAAACATAACGAAACTTGTATACAACAAACGAGGAGAAACATGCATTAACCATATCGTGCTTTATTTAGATGAACTATTGGCTGGAGCTTCATATTTAAAGGTGATTTTCGTATCAATCGTACTCTTAGCAAGAAAGTGAATAAGGATAAAACACTAGATAGGGCTGTGCGATTATGGCAAAAATCATAATCACGATTATTTGGGTCAATAATTGATATCACGATTATTAAATACGATTATTCATTGACTTTGAAAACATCCATTTATTGAACTTTAAAACAAATACAAATAATAATTTGAACAGTATCTTTTTAACTGTTGATTACCCTGAACGTATAATTCAACTGAAAAACCAATACAAAAATAAATAAAATAAATAATACATTGAAATAAATAATATCAAAATAATAAATACCAATAAACAAGATCAACAAATATTTTGGAGCGCACATCAACAAGCTACTAAACATATGTAAATATGATAAATACAAATAAATTAAGACTAAAATACATTAGATCAAATATGTTGCAGTGCACTGTCACAACCAAGCAAAGCAAAATAATCGTTTTTTACGATTATGTTGTTTTCGTAATTGTGGCAGGCCAAAATCGTAATTGCGATTAAAATACGATTAATTGCACAGCCCTAACACTAGATATTGAAATATGCCTTTTAAAGACATCATTTAAAACATGTTTCCCTCTATCTCTTTGACTTTATTCTTCATAACCCACTCGAACTTCACAGGAGGAAGGGCGATAAAAAGACTAATGAGCAATTCGACAAAGTAACGTCAATAAAACGTTAGAAATAGTGATTGAAGAATAGTTTTTTAATCCAAACCAAACGTCCCAAAAGAGGGTCTAAATTGCCTAAAATGACAATATTCTGGTTATTCTTATACAAAATAATGTCACCTAGCTACTGAAACATAATAAAACTTGTATACCTGATCCAGTATACTGCTAAGATTCAGACACATTAAATCACAAATAACCTGACCTACGGACACTTGCAATGCAACACGGAGAAACAAGCATCAACCTATAGTGTGTTATTTAGATGTACTATTATATAATAAGGCAGAAGAACACTGAACAACATAACAGAGGCTTTGCATGCAGCTTCAACTTCACTATAGCCGCGAACAATATGAAATGTGTTCTTCTCATGGGAGCTTATTTTATGCATTAACAATCATGTGTTACGGCAAGTTATTACATGGTTTAGTTGAATACTCGATTCTGATTGGTCAATTCAGAACACGTGACTTAAAATCAATACATACAACTATTTTTTAAATCAATAAAATCATTTTCTAAATCCATAAAAGCATTTCAATTAATAGTGGGAGTCATATCATTACTTTGTTGAGAATGTGGCCATGTAATAAGCGGGATAATGTGCTTACTTATTTGGCATTTTACAAGTGACTCTCTTGAGCTGAGACAGAATCGATAATCCGTTAGTGTTCAGATTGCACCCTTTTTTGTTTCCTCTTTTAAACTTGTACATTTACGCCTCTTTGGTTTACTCCTAGAAGGTAAGCAGACGATCACATCCCGGTGTGTGTGTGTCTTTTATTAATTCACAAACTTCACTTCGCTGCAAACTGGATTCCATTAAGGAAAAAAAGGCCATCATCTCTTGAAGCTGAAATCCATTCATTTCTTTATTTACCTTGCTGTCAATATCAATCGCCGCAGTCTGTTGACATAATACTTTTCAACAGCATTACAGATTTCACCAGATGGAGACGCGTGATAGCGAAAGATGGAGGCAGAGTCTGAAATAGCTTCTCTCTCTCTCTTCGCAGATGACAAGGACTCTGTATAATTCTCACCTGTCAAACCGAGAGAGAGAAAACAGGCGCTTACTTTTGCTGCAAACGTCTCGCACAAAGTTGGAAAAAAGTTCTCTCTCTGACAGCCTATGATTTTTATCGTGCTGAAAGCAGGAGGATGTCGTTATGACCTGGCAGGCTGCAGGTCCGCGCTCTTTAAATGTCTGACATAGCTGCGAGGAAAAAATATCCTAAAATCAGATCGCTGTTTTGGCAGCAGTGATATTTAAGCAGTATTAGTTTTAGTTGCTTTCTTTGTGGGATGATCCACTGGATTGAATGGGTTATTGATATAGGAGGGATACAAATGAGCAATGACAATGATTTGGACAAAGTAACGACAATAAAATGTAGGGCTGTGCAATTAATCGTATTTTAATCTCGATTACGATTTTGGCTTGCAACGATTACGAAAACAACGTAATCGAAATAAAACGATTATTATTTTTATTAAAAAAAAAAAAATGTTATTATTATTATTTTTATTTAAAAAAAGAAAAAAAATGTTATTGTTATTATTTTTATTTTTTTTGGTTTTTCAGTTGAATTATACTTAAAGTTCAGGGTAATCAACTGTTAAAAACATACTGTTCACATTTTTGTTTCAATAAATGGATGTTTTCAAAGTAAATGGATAATCGTTTTTAAAAATCGTGATATCAATTATTGACCAAAATAATCGTGATTAGGATTTTTGCCATAATCGCACAGCCCTAATAAAACGTTAACATAAATATTAATCATTAAGCCCTAATCCGAACTAAACGTCCCAAAAGAGGGTCTAAATTGCCTAAAATTACAATATGATGGTTATTTTCATACAGATTAATGTCACCTAGCTACTGAAACATAAATAAATAGTATACGTTATCCATTGAATTTCTTTCATATCTTCTATAAATGACTCTCAAGTCTCATTATGCACACAGGAATCTATATTCAGTGTAAGTCAATATTTGCTCCGCTGAAGATTGGTGTGCAGCTCAGTCCATTGCAAGTGAGGATGTTGCTCTTAAAACACACACAGTTCAAACAAGCAGTACCTCAGGCTTCGAGCATCGCGAAAACACCCACACACTCACCCCTCCCACACACACACATATATTTTTTAACACAATTCACCCCCCATTTCATTCTCAGCTGAAAGCAGATGCTTGATAACTATTCAGCAATCACACTCTTCTTTGTCACAAGCGGCACTCTGCATTCACAGCAGCAGCAGGCTGTGTCAGCTCCACACAGGGAATTTAACAACCTGCTACATGTGTAAATGACAGACTGTGCTGTGAGAAATAACAACTGTATTTATGGAGATATCTCTCAACCTCAGCTCGCAGGAAATGTGGGGAAATAATCAGGTCGGAGCGTGAGATGTGTTATCCCTTCAAGAGCAACGATTCCTCAAAGTGACGGTGTGCACGGACAGCAAAGCTTCACATTTACAGTAAAGAAACACAGGATTTCTCTTTTAATGTGTGTTGATTTGAGCAGTAAGACAGCAGCTGTAGAGGAGGAATAGTCTGCATGCATGAGGACATCAGTCGGTTTGCCATAAGGTGTTTGTACCAGAAAGAAAATAAGGAACTTTATGTAATAAGTATTGAAACAGAAATGGCATTTTAGGAGCCTGCTACAATATCCCTTAGCTGCTGCTGCTCTATTTGTTGGGCTTTCTATAATTACTATCTATTATTACTTTCTTATGGGTGACATCACAGAGACTACGTCCATATTTAATGCAATTTATGAGGTAAACACACAGTTAATCCGTCCTTAAAGCTTCAGGTTGTGAAGAAAACACCCAGTTATGTTTCGTTGAAATGGTTACTTCCTCTAGCTAGTTTGTGCCGCTTCTGATTGGTTGCGCATTGGAGGTAAACATGGTCAAAGTTGATATCATTTGAACTTTGAGCGCAGCAATTTCGATGTATCATGTGAATGCAGCTTGACACTTATGCTCTTGTGTTGTTTCCTCTTCGAAAGCCCCCCAAAAAAGATATGCCATGGTCCAAAAATCGTGTATAAGTCGAGTTGTACTCCTCACGGACACTTCTATGTCCTGTTGAAGAGCTCTGGAAAAGCCTGCCGTGCAAACCTAAAGTGTTTTTCTTTTATAACACAACTTTAATGCCAAGCTGCAGTTGTTTTTTTAATGTCCATATTGGCTCTCTATTTCCCGTGCAGCAGGGATGGGAACTCACCAAATTACTGCCGCTTTCATTAATTGGCCACAAATTGAATCACTGTTGTGCTATAGCGTCAGTAATTGAGAGGTGTTTTTAATCAAACTGTCATGCACTATTATCTCCTTTATGTGACATCTCAGGTGGGTTAGATTATATAAGTTTATTTAGAGGAAGTTAGCAACAAGGCAGCTTCAGTTCAACCATTTAAGTGTTTTTAGTTCTGGTGTTTTCAACCTTTTTCTGTCCAAGAACATGTTTCTTGTGTCCTTTGTCCACATTTTTGGACAGATTTGTAGCATTACACAGAAGCAGTTAATTCTGTCATTTGAACTCTTATACGATTATGCCGTTTGAACATGTGTGGAAGTATGCTTTCGGAGCGTTATCGAGCCACTACAGACATAAATGGGACCCTTTTTGGGGGGAAAACCAGGGGGTTGACTGGTGGAAAGCGAGCAGGATGTCGTGTCAAATTATCATATAATCATTTAAAACATATAGTCATATACTCTGATTGCCTTTTACACTGTTACATTGTGTTTTTCGTTTTGTATGTGTTTAACAGAGACACATGTTAAGGGTTTACATTTCAGGAGGAAGTATAACACGTGGATTTACAAATAGTTAAGGGTTTTGTGGTTTAATGGTTTGATGTTTAGATGATGCCTAAGATAATTTAAAGGTCACCTATCATGCTGTTTTTAGGCAATAGCATAGGTCTCAGATATATAAAAATATATAAAAAACATGTCTATGAAGTGTTTTGCTCAAAACACCAAACAGATCACCCATTCTAGCCATGCCTCATATCCCTCTATTTCACTTCCTGTTTCAAAAGTGCTGATTTGGGGTATAAAGCTTTAAAAAAGTAGGGGTCTGAGCTCATGCGGGACCCGGCAGCTACTGTCTAAACTAAATACTGCGGTGATGAAACGCCATATCATGGATTATCAAGGATTATTTCTGAAACAGTATGGAGCTCAAAGGCTTTCTCTCTTGCCGGTTATACCACAAGGTGAGTTCCTTTTTATTTCCTGCTTCTTCACACACATGCTCTCCAGTACAGGTTAGCTCTGAGTGTTAGCGATGCTAATGTAAACACCGACCATATTACGTCCAAAACAGTCGGGCATTGTTTCTGATAGCAACTTTCTGTGGGTCCACATTTCAGATATTACGTCATATCGGACGCAAATCTGGATCAGCTCCAGTTGTAGCCCCGTTTTTAGAGATTTGGGTACGGAGGAAAAGAGAGAGGGTTTTATTTTCTGACGCTGCGTGAGTTCCCAGACACACCGGGGACACATGTTGATGTAGAAAAGACATCAAAAAGCATTTTGCATGATAGGTCCCCTTTAAGGGTGGGACCAGATCGATTTCACTCGTATATTGACTTTCTTGATTACTTTATCAAATATAACAAAAGACCAACTTTGTCCATGAATCATTTATCAGTTTCTCTTAAGACTTTCCCCTCCCTTAACGTCTTCCTCGGTGGGGACAGCTTTACACAAATTGAGCCGTCTCTCCGTGGTTTCGCTCGGCTTGTTAGCGGAGTTCAGGAGCCCGGAGACTCGCATGACATTTTCAAGGAAGCCGACTATAGCCTGGCCTTTTGAAAGAAACAAGCCACAGAGAGGAAGGATCACTAATTAGCCCTCTGCGTCCCCGAGTCTCACAACTTACTGTCTTGTTAGACTTCACACCTCAAGTTCAACAAGTAATGTAAGAGGATATGACTTAAATTGAACTAAGTCGGGAAAGGAAACTGATTCTCTGAAAATAATGCATTGGAAATAATTGCCTTCCACCTAATCCATCTGTTAGCTTTACCTTGATGAGGATCAGTACTACCTGTAGTTTGCGAGCGCCTCAGAACACCACTTAAAAGTCATTTTTTAATAACGTGGAGTCTATGAATGGCAACGGCATAATCCCTGCATCCATTAACATTTGTGTGGCTTGGATCGCGGCTTGACCTTTGCAGAATTACACCATTAGTTATGAATGAAAAGCCTATGAATGGTTTAAGAGCAGAACAAGAAGTTTTGTATCTGATCTACGAGGTGGAGCTGTTTGAATCCCGCCAGATGCAGCAATCGCTGACAATTATTTAGTTTAGGTCTAATTGCACATGATGCAGGCGGGCAATTAACAAAACAATGTGACACAAACATAATTCACTCTCTTCGCTAATTGTATTGACGGATCAGAGAGCTGGTGAACGGCAGGTGTTCATCTGCAGCTCAGAGTAGGAACAGATAATGCAATATGTTTTAGAAAGATTCTTTTAGACGTCTTTTTGGAGGAAATTGCGATTTATGACAGTAACTCTATTTAAGAATTAAATAAATATAAGATTAAAAAGTATAAATATGTATTTAAACATTATAAGTTCAAGGAAAAATGTGCATTAAAAAAATTAACATATTTTTAATAATATAAGAAGTTTAAGCAACTCAATTTTCGCATGACATTTTTTTAAGATAATAAAGAAATTAATTAAATGAAAGTCAAAGTGAAATACGTGCACTGTAAAATTGCTCATCCTCCTATGAAGAGGTTAATGTGTTGATGTAGTCTCTCACATCCCTCTCTGTGTCCATCACATCTTCTAAGTTGGTCAGTGAAGGACTCCTGATGGCTGATGACTTCCCTAATGAGCCATATTGAGTTTTACTTTCATGTCAGCAGTCATTTTGTCACTCTCCTCAGATGATGGATATCTCGCCGGGGAATGAAACTCTTCAAAGTCTGATTACAGTGCAACTCGGCAAAAAGAAACCCCTCCGAAGCCCGAGCGATGACCTGCAGCTCCGCGTCTCGAGCGCGCGTAATCGCTACTCTCTCTCCTCTCCCCCTCTCTCTCTCTTCTCTCTCTCTCTCATCTCGTCTCATTCTCTCTTCTCCTCTCTCTCTCTCTCTCTCTCTCTCCTCTCTCTGGAGAGCCGGTCAGCAACTCACAAACATGTTTTTATCTTTGGTAAAAGCAAGAGATGTCACTGTCTGATGAGAAATATGGAAGAGTTTTTAAACTGGTGGAGTTTCACTACAGCTGTGTGCTCTGTGGTGGAGGGAGAGCTCAGCTTTAACCCTGCTTTTATGTGAAAAGAAAATCGAAAAAATAAAAATCTTCTCTCAATGTCTAGTTAATAAATAAGCTCATTGTTGTTGAAAATCAAAATCAAAGAAAGAAAAATCTCGCGCTTTCACACCGGAGTACTTTTCCCCCCCGAACTAGGCCGATAGGAGGGGGAGATTTGGTTTCACACCAAAAAGGATCTGGAACTAGTCCCTAGTTCGCGTGAACCTCTTCACCCCCAGATAGTCCCTGCTAGAGAGGTGGTACTTTCCTGTGGAGGAAATGGTTCGTGGGTGTGTCGGCCACACTAACAACTTCTGATTGGCCGGGCGAATTGCAAACCACGGCCCGTAAAACTCCGAAAGGTTTTGTGAAGCCGCCATTTTATTTGCATTACATTACATTACATGTCACTTGTTAGACGCTTTTATCCAAAGCGACTTACATACTCAATACTGTGGGCAATCCCCACAGGAGCAATTTGGGGTGAAGTGTCTCAGGGACACAACGACATGCTGACTGCAGTGGGGTTTGAACCTGTGACGCCCTGATCCCAACACCAAGGCTCTATCCACTGCGCCACACGCCTCCTTTTGCTCGCATTAGCATTAGCCCAGCGCACCAACGGAGAGACTAACTTATGGCAACACAAAAGAAAAACATGGGAGCGGTGGAGTGATGAGGAGGTGTCGGCGCTTCTGGCGATTCACTCGGAAGACGCGACCCAGCAGCTTCTATCTGAACAGCGTGTACATTTTTTATTTAGCACAGTCAAGACAGGCACAATTACAATAGTGCAATAATAACAATAACGGCATCATCACGCTGTCCCAGGTGTGTCGTATGCATAGTAAATAGGCTCAGCAGCAGACGCACCTTAGTGCAAAGATGAATAGCAGATAAACCACTACAAAGTAAGCCTGACAGTAAGAAGTGACGTCAGCGGCTTCATTTGCCTAATCCTCCCTCAGGGACTTATTCCGGTGAGAACGCGATCTGCTAGATAGTTCGAGGACGAAAGAGTTCGGGGGGGACAAGTACCGGGGACAAGTACTTGGTGTGAAAGCGGCTAATGTCTTTCTCTCTCTCTCTCTCTCTCTTTCTCCCCTTCTCCCCCTTTTGCAGGCTCAGAGCCCCCCAGGCCTCACACACCCCCTCCGGGTGAAAAGGACGAGGAATGCATCGTCCTCTCCGGCTCCGACAGCGATCCAGAGCTCAGTCGGGGGAAAACACAGACTCCCAGATCGCCGGGAGGCAAACAGAGCGAGGGTGAGGGTGAGGATGAGGATGAGGATGAGCCTCCGAAAGACAAACAGAAACCGGAGGAAGAAGAGGAGGACAAGCGGCAGCAGATCAGAGACAAACAATCAGCCCCCCCCCACCTCCGAACAGAGGGTAATCCCAACTGCAATCTTCTTCTTTTCATATCTAGGGAAATTGGCTGCGGCTGCATTGTCACCTGCCCATATAATGCTGTTTAATATCATCACCTCGAACCAATAAGGGACTATATCTCACTCCATATGGGGCCGCGCATTATTATTCTTACTATTATTAGTAGGCTCTCAGGGAGCTACAGGTGATATTGAATGAAACTTCCCCAGAGTGCATCATGTTTGAGAATCAGAATCACATTTTTTGGCAGGTACGGTGACACAGACAAGGGATTTGGTGGTGTAAACATACACAACAGAAGAAAATAATGTCAAAAATATAACAATTATATAAAAAAAGGACGGTTTTACATTAAAAAATTTGTATTTACACCAGATTTCAATATACAAAAGATAAAAAAATCAAACTTAGTACAAGAATATACGTCGATATATGACTAACTGCCGTGTATGTGTGCAGAAATGTGCAAGTGAGCGCCGAAAACAGCTTCTGATTGGCTGTTTTTTTGTATTTATTTAATAAAGTGGACTACTTATAGAAAAGACACAAGTTTCCTTCGCCCAGCGGCTCTCCCTTGTCCACTCCCGTTACACTTGTACATGTCTGCGGGTCTCAGAGGGATGTGAAAAAACAAATTACACAGTGTGTAATATTGCAAATTAAGACCTCTGTGTTCAAGTGCTTGTGTCTCAAAGGGATACGCAAAGCAATACATTGCGCTAATTACAAAGAACTAATTAAACCGTGTGCAATATGAAGAGCTCCAACAAAAATACTAATAATATTGCCAGACTAGCAGAGTCTAAGAAAAGCTTGTGACCTGAGCGTTGCCTCTGAAACATTTTGGGGTTATTAAAGGAAGAAACCGAACAGTTCAGGGCCGAGTAAAGATGGGAATATTGTAGAAGCCATTTAGGGTTTTAACAGGCAAGCTATCAACCCCTATTACCCTTTAACGTGCTCAGATCAGTGTGTAACAACTCGGCACACACACACACACACACTCTGAGATCTATTAGTGTGTGCCCCCAGATGTCCAATCCCACTGCTGCTTCCCCCTCTACTCTCAGGCGTAGAAATACAAAAGGTGAGCGAAAGGCCTCCTGTTGAAAACACTATTTAGTTAAAGTCACATGTATGTATCACACATGTATGATTGATGATGAATTTATGAGGAGATCCATGAGGTTCCTTTAACAATAACAGCCGACAATTCAGGTCCAAGGAAATGTAAGTAAGGCTGCCAGATTGTATAGAACTGATCAGATTTGGCATGTCAAACATTTGTGAGATATTCCAGGGGAACCAACTCAAATATAATGTTGCGCCAGACTTTGAGACATGGGACCAGATCCTTAGTAATCAAATATTTTTCCTAGCAGCAAAAGTAAGCCTCAAATCACTATTTAGACCCGCGTTAAAAGCCCCGTGTCGATCAGAAATGGCACTAAAGAGACACAGTGGGGTGTCCGGACACGTTTCTGTCCGTCTATATGTGGCCGTGTGTCTCTCCATCCGTCCCGTCGGTTAATTTGTGAGCAGCGTGGGTTTGCTATGAAACACAGCGGTTGTCCAATAAAAGTGACCTATGGGGTCAGGAGCGGAGCCTAATGATTTTCCGCTACCTGGCCGTGGTTTTTTTTTGAAGGCAAAGCGCAGAGCTGTCGGCCGCCCACACATCTTGATTGCTCTGAGATTACTTTCCTCACAGCACAGACAGGCAATCAGTCCTCCCCCTCCTCCCCTTCTGTCTCTCGCTCTACTTCCTGTCTGTCGCTATCCCATCCATCTGCATGACCCAAACATTGCAACACACAGCTTTTCTACCGGATGTTAGTTTAAACGTTACCGCAAACGCAAACGTCCTCACACTTTTGGTTGTATTATTTCTCTTCTGTTTCGATCCGGCAGAAGATGAGATGACTCAGTCCAATTAGGCGTTTGTTTTCTCTCTCTCTCTCGCAGTAAAATAACAGATAAATCCCTCGGGGTGTTTTGAAGGCACTGTTCATACTGTGTAAGTGACAGTCTAATAAGACGGCTTTGTAAGATGAATTGCCCCCATCGTATAAATGGCCCACTTAATGCAGCTGGCGTGCAAACACAGGAAGGGGGGGTGAAAAAAAAACTGCTTACGACAAATATAGGGTGCACATTGCAGGGATGCTAGGTTTCATTACAGATATGGAGGGACAGATAGATGGGGTTTTGTAAAAACGCTAGTGTCCTGAAAGTTATTTTAGCTTGTAGCACGGCACACTGCCTTCTCCTGGGCATAAAGTGGCCCATACGAGCTGATGCCGGGGTGAGATCAGAACAGCCTGTACCAGACCCGGGGAAATTGCACGGCAAACATAAAAATGAAAGATATGGCCGGTGAACATGATAGGTCAGCGAGAGGAAAAGGCCTAACAGGAAGAGCTCACCTTTTAACAAGAAACATTAAATAAAAAATGCATCACCGATCTTTGACAAGGTCTTCGAACGTTGTAAAATTAGTTATGGAAAGTGCATTTACTAATTCCTGTCCTTAAGTAGAATTGTGAGGTGCTTTTCATTCCATTTTATGCTACTTTATGATAGCATTGGTTTAAATAACATTACATATGCATGACTGAACGGGCAAAATAGAGTAACACTTCGAAAAAACATTGTTTAATATCATTTATTAGGGGTCAAACAACACACAGATTGCATCCTATTTTAATTGAAAGGTCGCTATCTTGATTGGTGAATGAAGCTACGTTATATCAACTTAACTCCCGTCTAACTTCAAACCAGAAAAGCGCAGAGAAAAACACAAGTAAAAGAGATGTCTTATTGAAAACACTCTAAACTGTTTTGACTTCAGCAAAAATGCCCGTGTCCTTGTAAGACCCCCATCAAGTAGAAATGGAGAAAATGTGTTTGCAGGGCCTTTGATACAGCAGGGTCAACCCTCGTAGTATTCAAATAGACACACACATTCCCATGAACACACACACACACACACACACACACACACACACACACACACAGACGAGGCAGACAACTGGCCATGCAGAGTGATTTAAGGCGAGTATCGTCAGAGTGCTGTAGGTCAGTGTCTAAATGAAGCGTGGTGGAGCAGCGGCCGTCTCATTTCCACCGCTGACCTTTCCCTGCTCGCTGCTTCAGGATGAGCGAGCAACACGGCTGACATTAATGACCCGCTCCCTCTCTTCCCTTCCTCTGTTTCTCCCCATTTGTTACTGTCATCTTATCTCTCTCCCTCTCCTCTCTCTCTCTCTCTCTCTCTTGGTGTTCAGCAAAATCTCACACGGACATGTTGGAAGTAAATCACTCGTCTTCTATGTGGAGGAATACTAATTGCAATCAGGACTTTGGCGATCATGATTGATATTTAAAAGCCGTGCTACGCTCATAGAAACTTTCCTGAGTGTCCAGTGCACTGAAATGCACAACAAAAGTGCACTGAATTCAGGTGAAGACGACTTATTTTAACTTGATTTAAAGTCTTATGTTGATGCACAGATGGTTTAAGGTAGCACAAGTACAAGTTAAAAGCAACTGTCTTCATTTAAATGTGACTCAATACTATTAAAAATCTGCACTTATCGATGCACTTCTTTGAATAAAAGGCAATTGTTTCTCGAAAGAAAGATTTCTACGCACAGCATGGAAGTAAAATAAGTGCTCTGTTTATTTAAAGGGGTCCAATTATGCTCATTTTCAGGTTCATATTTGTATTTTGTGCTTCTACTGTGTGTCTTTTCATGCTTTAATGTTCAAAAAGGTCTTTACTTTTCTCATACTACCTGCCAGCCCCTTCAAATGTCCATCAGCAAAAAAACTTGTCCCTAAAATCAATGAATAATGCGTATAAATAATAATAATAATACAATTACAAGCATTTAGCATCAAGTCAGGTCTGTTTTTGAGAGACTTCCTGTCTTTATTCAATGCTCATGTCGCTGTTTTATAGATAATGTGGTAAAAACAAAGCATTAATTAATATAAATGTCATTTTCAGCGCTTATATTTTAATATATTCACTCTATTTCGGTGCTGGAAAGTGTTCAAGACAGGCTGCTTTAAGACACACGTGTAGGTTGGTTGTTATATCAACGGGTGATAGCATAAGATTGACTTTCATTCCTAATTATATGAAAAATGTCAAAGGTAATTATTGAAACATTTTCATTTCACATTCTATAATCAAGTGTTTGAAAGCAATAAAGCTAAATATTTATTTTTCGAGCGTGCGCCTCGTATGCATTTTAATGATCTGCTACAAATGTCATATCCCCCTCAATATTGTGCCGTGTGTAATAAATGTGAGGGCTGCAGGAGTTTAATGTCTCTGCTAGTCGGAGCATCGGCAGAGGAGCAAACACAGCTGTGAGAGCCAATAATGAGCCAGTAATATATACTCTGAGAGATATTAGCCTCTTCCTCTCTCCCTGCAGAGACTGCTGCTGCCGGGGCTAATGACGATGATGAGGCCGATGATGAAGAAGATGACGCTTATACCGTCTACCCGGGACTTCAGTTCTGCGCCAGCCCTTACACTGACCGGATATATCTCTACACAAAGGTACTGCTGAAATAATAATCCTTCTAAAGATCTCTCCGTACAACAGAACACAAATATATATCGCATACGTAAAACACCACCTTGTGCCCATTATTAAAATATATGTCTCTCTTCCCACGGACCCTTTAGTTATAAAACACTTCATCACTTTACACATCTGTTCATCAAGGATTACAATACTTCAGGATTACATTCATTCAAAGTAGGATTTTAGGTGTATATCAGTATGTAGTGTCTCTACTTTAAAGAGTCCTCTCCTGCTGATGTTCAGGTGTATATCAGTATGTAGTGTCTCTACTTTAAAGAGTCCTCTCCTGCTGATGTTCAGGTGTATATCAGTATGTAGTGTCTCTACTTTAAAGAGTCCTCTCCTGCTGATGTTCAGGTGTATATCAGTATGTAGTGTCTCTACTTTAAAGAGTCCTCTCCTGCTGATGTTCAGGTGTATATCAGTATGTAGTGTCTCTACTTTAAAGAGTCCTCTCCTGCTGATGTTCAGGTGTATATCAGTATGTAGTGTCTCTACTTTAAAGAGTCCTCTCCTGCTGATGTCCATGTGTATATCAGTATGTAGTGTCTCTACTTTAAAGAGTCCTCTCCTGCTGATGTTCAGGTGTATATCAGTATGTAGTGTCTCTACTTTAAAGAGTCCTCTCCTGCTGATGTTCAGGTGTATATCAGTATGTAGTGTCTCTACTTTAAAGAGTCCTCTCCTGCTGATGTTCAGGTGTATATCAGTATGTAGTGTCTCTACTTTAAAGAGTCCTCTCCTGCTGATGTTCAGGTGTATATCAGTATGTAGTGTCTCTACTTTAAAGAGTCCTCTCCTGCTGATGTTCAGGTGTATATCAGTATGTAGTGTCTCTACTTTAAAGAGTCCTCTCCTGCTGATGTTCAGGTGTATATCAGTATGTAGTGTCTCTACTTTAAAGAGTCCTCTCCTGCTGATGTCCATGTGTATATCAGTATGTAGTGTCTCTACTTTAAAGAGTCCTCTCCTGCTGATGTTCAGGTGTATATCAGTATGTAGTGTCTCTACTTTAAGAGTCCTCTCCTGCTGATGTTCAGGTGTATATCAGTATGTAGTGTCTCTACTTTAAAGAGTCCTCTCCTGCTGATGTTCAGGTGTATATCAGTATGTAGTGTCTCTACTTTAAAGAGTCCTCTCCTGCTGATGTTCAGGTGTATATCAGTATGTAGTGTCTCTACTTTAAAGAGTCCTCTCCTGCTGATGTTCAGGTGTATATCAGTATGTAGTGTCTCTACTTTAAAGAGTCCTCTCCTGCTGATGTTCAGGTGTATATCAGTATGTAGTGTCTCTACTTTAAAGAGTCCTCTCCTGCTGATGTTCAGGTGTATATCAGTATGTAGTGTCTCTACTTTAAAGAGTCCTCTCCTGCTGATGTTCAGGTGTATATCAGTATGTAGTGTCTCTACTTTCAAGAGTCCTCTCCTGCTGATGTTCAGGTGTATATCAGTATGTAGTGTCTTAGCCTGTGTGATATATGTGTTCATCAAGTGTGGTCACATTCACCGAATTCACCACAATTTGCTGATGCTTGTAAACACTATCTCCCCGAAGAAAGGGATTGAATTCAAAAGCATTTCATGTTTTCTTCCTCTCAGACAAAGCTGGATGTCTTATTTATTCTCCTCTTGTCCCTTTAGTATAAAACATTGTACAATGTCTGATGCCTTTTATTTGAGTATTACATTTCAGACGGCAGCTATCTGAAGACACCAAACATCTCAGAAGTGTCAGCATCGGGAGCTTTTTTTTAACTGAAAGTCTGAAGTTTTTATTCCACAACGCAGTGAGAATAAGTCCAAACTGAAAGGGCATGCATGAGTTCAGAAACCCACACCATGTTTTGTTCCTCCCCAGCTTGTTCCTGTCACATTCAAACATTGAACAAAGCATAATGAATCCCTTTATTTAGCGCCAAGTGCTGCAAAAAACAATACACTTAACCAAAGATGAAACGTGCTGTTCTGCCACTCTTTGCCAATTAGCAACCTGTACAGATGTGATTCCAGTTAGGGTAGAAACTACTCTTACTAATGCTTGATATTAACCTTGATTGCCTCCTGTCTATTATCAGAGGAGCTTGTTTGAGCTTCTCTCTGAGATTGATCGAGGCTGTGTGGTGAAAGAGAAGCTCTTAAATCCACTCATATTCTTTAGGTCAACACAAATTAAAGGTTCAGGAATTACCAAAGGATTACCAATACCATTTAAAAAGGATCTGCAGAGCCTCTCTCCTACGTTTCCTCCTTGATCTGCAATCCTCCTGCGTTTACCAGCCCTAAGGGAGTCTTAACATTTCTTTATATTTGATTTATTTACATATATTTAAAAGCGCGGTCCACACATTTGACATGAAAGACAGAGCTTTGGAGCTAATAACACAATGTTTTCCAGCAAAAGTGAAGCACCTCATTGTCAAAAAAAGCTAATTTCAATGGCACTAATAAGTATACAGAATTAGGAATCTGGTCGAGTATTGCTTTCATCGACCGATCCTCAATTCTTCATGTATTTTTTTGCACATTGATTGATACCGTTTGTTGTGTAAGTGTTGCGCTGTCCGTGGTGCTGAAACAGATCTGAGGAAACCATAAAAAGACAGACAGAAAACACTGTTTTTTTGTATATTTCGCTGACTCAAAAGTCTTGTATATTTTGGTGTTTTGCTGCATACATTCTGTTTTTGTTCCCTCTTGCTTTTCCCCCATTTTATGGAAGACTACTGCAGTACTAAATCACCTGAGTACCGCTTTAACCGCTTAACCGCTTTCTACCGCTTTAAAATCACTATTCTCTTGACATACCTGGGCGCAACAACGTAAAATAAATGGACTCAATATTGCTCAAAATACAAAACAACTCCAGCTGCTCTGTTCGAACGGTAATGAACAACATCAGCAGTGACAGACTGCCGCCTGAGGGAAGAAGTGTAATATCAGTCATACATTTTGTAGATTTCCCCCGCAGTCATTTTGAAATAGCTGACCACAAACAAAGACACGATTCCCCTGCAGCAACCAATCATGTTGGATTTAAACAAAAGTGCAGGCGGCCTCTCTTGCTGTGAAGACTTTCATTCAGATAATCAAGTGAAATGCTTTTTAAGCTTCTTGTGCCATTGAACGTTGTGTTGCCGTGTGCATCTGATTACACCCCGGTTTATTCCTGGCACTTGTCTTGAGAGCCACTCGCCAACAAGACCTCCGTATTGATCGGATTGTGATGCTCGCCGCCCTTTTGTTTCATTCATGAGGGATCAGAGTCTTTCCCCAACTAAAGCAGATAAGAGGACCACCAGAGAGCTGAACTGAATGCAATATTACCCACAGTGTCGTGCACGCATGGCTGAGAAGATAAGCCGTGGAGATAAATGTCCCCCGCTGTCGTTTAAATGATAAACTGGAGGAATTTTTGGCTGGAAAGCTGTCACATCGGGATTATCCGCTCGATGCACAGGAAGATTTGTCCCTGGGGTTTGAATGAGAAATATTGAGAGTATTAAGAATTTGATGTTCATTTTCTTTGGTTGTTTAATTCAAGGATTCTCTGTTCCTACTTGAGGTGCAGTCTGTTACATGTCAACACCAGGAAGAGCATATTTGGGGGGGGTTTAACCACGTCAGGATGATTCAGACATGCATTATGTTGGGCTAAACTTATAAGAAATCCTTCGCTGTGATTACCGGTGTCATTTGTAACCTATAGTCAACATAAACATAACGGGTCGTTAATGTGACTTTAACTGGACAAATCGCGAATGTGATGCATGGAAAATCCTAAATATCCCAAATATAAATCACCCAAGTTAGCTCAGAGTTCATATTTAGCTATTAGCATCTAGCCAGCTTGTATCGATTCCAATAGAGAGGCGAAGTCGCTCCCCTTCCGGTGGAGCTCCATGGGACCTTAGTTCGGAAAAAGTATGTATTGAAGTCAATGGAGAGAGAAAGATTATCTTTCGATCCCGTTTGAATTGTGCCACGAATTACACATATGATGTTTGTCAATTTAAAAGATAATTTTGTAAGTCAAAAAAAACAAACTGAAGTAACACTTTCTTTTGTGTGAAACCGCTCAATGAACTACATCTCCCGTCTCGCACCACACACCGTGACGGCCGTCACGTTGGCACATTTCACTTCTTTCTTTCAGAATGAGGCGGAAAGTATTAAAAGAGGTGAAAATCACTCCAAGTCTGGGCATGTTGAGAGCTGTACATACACACAAGGGGAGTTAGTCGGTTCCTAAGAGCCAGCATGCGGGACCGGGATTCTGGGATTTGTAGTCTTTCTAGTTGCATATTTTTCATAGTCTTATATTTAAACAGTTTTACGACAAACTGTGACTTTTTTGACGTGGAAATTATTTTTTAAGATTGACAAACATCATATGTGTAATTCATGGCACAATTCAAACGGGATCGAGAGATAATCTTTCTCTCCTCATTGATTTCAATACATCATTTTTCCGTAATAAGGTCCCATGGGTCGGAAGTAGATGGGCGTGACTTCGCCTCTCTATATGTTTGTGAATAGACCAGTGTCTGATGGAAAACAGCATGCTTGTGTCGAGAAAAAGAGGGTTTTTTGTCCCTTTTTTAAAGTTCCTACAGTACATGCTAGTTTTGTGCTTTAAACCATGCTCCCTGTTGTCCTCTACAAACACTACAAACTAACCTTATGTAGCCCTAGATTATATGTATATTGGTCGCTGTCAATTCTCATTTAATCCCATATGTTAGCTAGCTTGAGCTTGCAGGATTGAGGCATGCAGTAAACAGTAAACCTTATACACATGAATTCATGTATTTTGTATTGTTTATGTCTGTTATTATTGTGAGTAGGGATGATATAGTACATGTCTTTCCTACTTCTCGCTGCAAACAGAACCAGCGGCTCCACTGTTCCCCCGACTCTCCCATGATATTTATTTTTGTCATAATCCAAACAAACATGTGGGCCTCTGTGCGCTGGAAGAAAACGCCCTAATGTTGATTTGTATCTCCAAATGCCTGTGTCAGCTGCCGACGGGTATTAACCTTTAAACTTCTCCCGTCTGTCCTCAACAAATCCAGATTTCAGACTTAACTTGAATTTGCTGGTCAGCCTCTTTCTGGAAAAAATGTCCCTGATGTTTGGCACAATCACAGAAGGCTTCTCAGGCTTCAAATTGGCAGTAGTTAGTGCTAATGAAGCAGTAATAACTAGCTAAATGTTCTTTATTGTGATTATTTATTTATGCAGGTACCTCCGAGCAGCGGCGGTATGATTACCCATAATCACAGGGAGGTACATTCATGCGGATATATGCAGGGCATTTCTTTTAAGAAGCATTATCTTCAAAGTAGTGTACATACATTAGAATAAAAACGAGAGATCACTAACGAGCTCCTTGGTTACCACGAGAATTTCCATGGCAACAAAGTGTGGGCAGATATAATTGGATCCAAGTTCTGCGAGTTAGTAATTAGAGATTTGATTGCTTGTCTGAAATTACCTGTAGTTTAATATAAATTGAGCCGCAGAACACAATGTAACACGTTTAGCTGCTGGAGCTGCTATTGTCATACATGTTTCATACAGGACTGAATGGCTTAGCGAGAATATTTTATTATAAATACTTGTTTTGAACCTCACTCTTTCTTACCCTTTGTTCCCAGGCGTCTGTAAGATTACAATCAAGGCTCCCGGTTCTCAATAGTGTTATTATCCGCTAGCTTTTCCCACAATTTCATTCTCATTTGCACCAGATTTGCACCAGAAATGTCTCTTATGAGGCGTGTGCTCTAAGCTACATGCTAACATCAGTGTGCTATAGTACCGTTCTAGTTGTGAAGGTATTTGTACATTGTTAATTGAGAATTTAATGTACTGTATCACCGCAGTTATACATCTTAAAGAGGCCCTATTATGTGTTTTGGGGTCTTCCCTTTCCTGTAGTGTGCTATATAGGTTATTGTCAGAGGTGGGAAGTAGTGGATTACAAATACTTTGTTACTGTACTTAAAGTGGACCTATCATGCTATATTTGAATAATATAGTGTAGGACCATACCTATATAAGGCATATTTATTTTTTTCTTTTCAAAATACCAAACAGATCATGCATTTTAGCCATGCCTCATTTCGCTCAAATTGCACTTTTTTACCCCTGTTTTTGCAAGGGCAGATTCTGTGAGAACAGCACCATCTACAGGCCTGGCATATGTACTACAGCGTCTCCAGCGCTTTCGAACGGCAATGGCCGTGGCTGTCTCCTCCTGATTGGTGGAGTTGGCCCAATAGCCGTAGCGCCACCGTCCTGACGTCAGGACAGTGTTCAAATCTGGATCAGTTTTTATCAGATCCGTTGCAGCCCCTTTTTTTAGAGATTTAGGTATGGAGGAAAATAGAGAGGGTTGTGTTTTCTGACACTTGGTGAGTTCCCTGGAACACCGGGGACACATATTCATGTAGAAAAGACCTACAAAAGTGCATTTTGCATGATAGGTCCCCTTTAAGTACATGTTTCTGGTATCAGTACTTTACTCCACTACTTATTTTTCTGACAACTTTTTACTTTGACTTCTTACATTTTGAACCCAAATACCTGTATTTTCTACATCTTACATTTCCCAAACAGGCTGGTTCCTTTAGTTTGAATGTGTGTTTGGTGGCGTGATCATTATTATTTAGTGTCATTGCTGCTTTTTAGGAAACTGTTGTTAATGAGAAAACAAAAAAGACACCCACCTTCTGTGACGCGATAAACCTTAATTTGACAGCATCAACATCACCCTGACATTTATCTGTGAAACAATAACGGTGCTGCAGCTGCGTCGTCGTTCCCTTTAAGGGGACGCCGAGTTACAGTGCACGGTTTTATTTCCCCGCCGTTGTTACACTTGGTGAACTCAGCAGCGAAGTCCCACCGGTCTCACCAACCGTTTGGGCGTAAAAACCCGAGGAGCCAGGGAGAAACCTCTGAGAACCATGAAGGGACTGTTTGTAGTGAAGTGGTGCCACCCATGTACCATTTTACTGCTTCAAAGGAACCACTGAGTGTGTTTTATGGATTCCTCCTCTGCTGGGAGGACTGAGGGAGCTGAGGGCCAGAAACTAATGGTCTCTCTTTTAAGGCATTTAAAGCTTTAAAAAAAAGAATAAAGTAGATAAAGGATAGATGGAGGAGGGATAGATGGATCGAAGATAGATAGATAGAAGATAGATGGATGGATAGATGGATGGATAGAGGATAGATGAGATAGATGGATGTATAGATAGAGAGATAGATAGATAGATAGATGATGGATAGATGATGGAATGTATAGATGGATAGATGGATAGATGGATGGATAGACAGATAGAGGAGGATAGATGGATGGATAGATAGATAGATAGATAGATAGAATAGATAGATAGATGGATGATAGATGGAGGATGGATAGATGGATAGATGGATAGATAGATGGATGGTATATGGATGGATAGATGGATAGATGGAAGTAGATAGATGGATAGAAGATGGATGGATAGATGGATGGATAGATGGATAGATTAGTATAGATAGATAGATGATCGATAGATGGATGGATAGATGGATGGATGGTGATGGATAGATGGATAGATGGATGGATCGATAGATAGATGGCTAGGGAGAGATGGCGATTATAGATAGATCGATAGAT